AAAATAAAAAAGATAACTGGAAAATCCCAAAATATTTGGAAACCATATAGCACACTTACTTCTAAAATTGTGGTAGAATACATATAACATAAAAATTACTGTTTTAACCATTTTTAAATGTACAATTCGGTGGTCTTAAGTACATTGTTCTGTTTATCTACAGAACGCTTTTCATCTTGCAAAACTGAAACTCTGTATTCATTAAACGCTAACTCCCCATTTTCTCCTTCCCCCAAGCCCCTGACAATCATAAATCTACATTCTATTAATTCAACTATTCTAGTTACCTCATATAAGTAGAATTTTACAGTATTTGTCCTTTTGTGGCTGGCTTATTTCACTTAGCGTAATATCCTTAAGGTTCATCTGTGTTATATCATGAAAGTAAAAACAATTTTCTTTCTTTGTAAGACTGAATAATATCCTGTTGTATGTGTAACTTTCAGTGTGGTTTTGATTTGCCTTCCTAATGACTAATGATGTTGAACATGTTTTCATGGGCTTATTGGCATATTTTATGTCTTCTTTGGAGAAATGTCCATTCAAATCTTTTTGCCCATTTTTAGTTATTTGCCTCCTTATTCTTGAGTCATAAGAATATTTTTATTCTGGATACTAGTCCCTTATCAGATATATGATATACAAACATTTCTCCCATTCTGTGGGTTGTCTTTTTAATTTCTTGATAGTGTCTATGAAGTACAAAAGTTTTTACTTTTGATGAAGTCAAATCAAATTTATCTGTTCTTTTTTTGCTTATACTTTTAGTGTTATGTCTAAGAAATCTTCCTAATCCAAGGTCATGAAGGTTCATGCCTATGTTTTTTGTTTGTTTTGTTTTTGTTTTTTGTAGCGACTGGATTTCCCCAAGTTGCCCAGGCTGGTCCTGACCTCAAGCAGTCTGCCCACCTCAGCCTCCCAAAGTGCTGGGATTACAGGTGTGAGCCACCACACCCAGCTGTCATGCCTATCTTTTCTTTTCCTTTTTTTCTTTTTTTCTTTTTTTTTTAGACAGAGTCTTGCTCTGTGCAGTGGTACAATCTCGGTTCACTGCAGCCTTCTGCCTCCAGGGTTCAAGCGATTCTCCTGAGTAGCTGGGATTACAGATGTGCACCACCATGCCTTCCTAGTTTTTGTATTTTTAGTAGACATGGGGTTTCACCATGTTGGTCAGACTGGTCTCCTGACCTCGTGATCCACCCGCCTCGTGATCCACCCGCCTCAGGCTCCCAAAGTGCTGAGTCACCGCGCCCAGCCGCCCATGTTTTCTTCAAAGTTTCATAGTTTACACTCTTAGACTGAGGTCTTTGATCCAGTTTAATTTTTATGTGATGTGAGGTAGGAAATCCAGCTTTATTCTTTTGCATGTGAATATCCAGTTGTCCCAGCACCATTTGTTGAAATTAGTATTATTTCCCACATTCATTTGTCATGGCACCCTTTTCAAAAATCAACATAAAGGTAAGGGTTTATTTCTGGACTCTCAATACTATTCCATTCATCTGTATGTCTGCCTACTGTAGTTGAGATGTTTGTCCCCTTCAAATCTCATGTTGAAATTTGATCCCCAGTGTTGAAGGTGGGACATAATGGGAGGTATTTGAGTCATGGGGCCAGGTCCCTCATGAGCAGATTAATGCCCTTCCTGCAGGGTGGGAGGGTCAATGAATTCTTACTCTATTAGTTCCCTTGAGAACTAGTTGTTATTTTTATTTATTTATTTTTTTGAAATGGAGTCTCATTCTTGTCGCCCAGGCTAGAGTGCAGTGGCACAATCTTGGCTCACTGCAACCTCCGCCTCCAGGGTTCAAGTGATTCTCCTGCCTCACCCTCCCAAGTAGCTGGGATTACAGGCACCCGCCACCACACCCAGCTAATTTTTGTATTTTTAGTAGAGATGGGGTTTCACCATGTTGACCAGGCTGGTCTCGAACTCCTGACCTCAGGTGATCCACCTGCCTCGGCCTCCCAAAGTGCTAGGATTACAGGTGTGAGCCACTGCACCTGGTGGGAACTGGTTATTAAAAAGAGCCTGGTACCCCACCTCTTCCCACCCTGCCTCACTTCCTCTTTAACCGTATGATCTCTGCACATGCGGAATCCCCTTTGCCTTCCACCGTGAGTGGAAACAGCCTAAGGCCCTCACCTGATGCCAGTGACAGTCTCATGCTTGTACAATCTACAGAATCATGAGCCAAATAAACCTCTTCATAAATTACCCAGCCTCCGGGAGTTCTTTTTTTTTTTTTTTTTTTGAGACGGAGTCTTGCTCTGTCGCCCAGCCTAAAGTGCAATAGTGTGATCTTGGCTCACTGCAACCTCCACTTCCCAGGTTCAAATGATTCTCCTGCCTCAGCCTCCTGAGTAGCTGGGATTACAGGCACCCACCACCGTACCCAGCTAACTTTTGTATTTTTAATAGATGGGGTTTCACCATCTTGGCCAGGCTGGTCTTGAACTTCTGACCTCATGATCACCCCACCTCAGCCTCCCAAAGTGCTGGGATTTCAGGTGTGAGCTACCATGCCCGGCCCTCAGGTAGTTCTTTATAGCAACACGAAATGGTCTAAGCCACTATCCTTATGCCAATATCACACTGTCTCAGTTACTGCAGCTTTGTAGTAAATTTTGAAATTGGGAAGTGTGAATTCTTCAACTTTGTTTTTCCTTTTCAAGATTATTTCTAGCTATTCTGGGTCCCTTATGTTTCCATGTAAATTTTAGTATCAGTTTTTCGATTTCTGCAAAAGCACTGGGATTTTGATAGAGATTGAGTTGAATCTGTAGATCAACTGGGTAGTAGTATCACCTTAAAAATGTTAAGTCTTCCAATACATCAATAAGGGATGTCTTTTCATTTACTTAGATAGTCTTTAATTTCTTTCAAGAATGTTTTGTAACTTTCTGTATATGTCTTGCAGTTCTTTTGTTAAATTTATTCCTAGACATTTTATCTTTTTGATGCTATTATAAATGGAATTGTTTCCTAACTTCATTTTCAGTTTTTCATTGCTAGTGTATAGAAATACAATTGATTTTTGTATATCAATTTTATATCCTACAACCTTGTGAGACTGTTAATTAGCTCTAGTGTGTGCCTGTGTATGTTCCTTAGGACTTTTTGTATACAAGATATGTCATCTGCAAGTAGAGGTAGTTTTGCTTTTTCCTTTCCAATCTGAATACCTTTTCTTTTTCCAGCTATGGATAGACCCTCAAGTATAATATTGAGCAGAGTGGTAGTAGCAGACATCCTTGTCTTGTTCCTGATCTTAGTGGGAAGGTTTTCAATCTTTCACCATTAAGTATGATGTTAGCAGTGGGTTTTTCACAGATTCCCTTTATCAGGTTGAGGAAGTTTCCTTCTGTTCCTAGTTTGTTGAGTGTTTTGATCAAAAAAGAGGTATTAGTTTTTGTCAAATGCTTTTTTGCCATCTATTGAGATTATCATGTAGCTTTTGTTTTATTAATATGGCATATTAAGTTGATTACTTCTTGCATATTGAAGCAATCTTGAAAGAAATCCTAATTTGTCATGGTGTACAATTCTTTTTAGATGTTGCCTGATTTGGTTCACTAGTATTTTGTTGAGGATTTTTGCATCTCTGTTCATAAGAGATATTGGTCTATGGTTTTTTGGTGGTGTTTTTCTTGTGACGGCTTTGTTGTTTTGGAGTTTCTTTGTTTTTTCTTTTACACTGGGTTTTTTTTTTCCTCTTTATTTTTCATTTTTATTTTTTAGCTTTGGTTTTAGTATAAGGATAATGCTGGCTTAATAGCATGTGTTGGGAAGTGTTTCCTCTTATTTTTTTTAACCCTTAATTCTTGGTTTGGATCTTCTATTTTTTGGAAGAGCTTGTGAAGGGTTGGTAAAGGATTGTTTTTTAAACATTTGGTAGAATTTACCCATGAAGTCATCTGGTCCTGGGCTTTTTCTCTGTGGGAAGGTTTTTGATTAAAAATTCCATCTCTTTACTTGGTATAGGTCTATTCACACTTTCTATTTCTTCTTGATTCAGTTTTGGTTGTTTGTCTTTCTAGGTTATTAGGTTTCTTTTCATCCAAGTTAATCTAACTTTTTGGCATATAATTGTTCATAGAATTCCCTTATATCCTTTTTATCTTTGTAAGGTTGGTGGTAATGTCTCCTCTTTTATTTCTGATTTTAGTAATTTGAGGCTTTCATCCTTTTTTCTTTATCAGTCTAGCTAAAGGTTGTCAATTTTGTTGATCTTGTCAAAGAAGCAACTTTTGTTTTCTTGATTTTCTCTATTCTTCTGCTTTCCATTAATTTCTGCTCTAATCTTTATTTCTTTCTTTCTGCTCATTTTGAATTTAGTTTGCTCTTCTTTTTCTAGTATCCTAAGGTGGAAATCTTGGTTATTGATTTGAAGAGAGTTTCTTTTTAGATTGCAACTAGAGTTGGTGATTATATTCCTTAAAATATTGTCAGATGATTGTTTAAGCAAAAATATGGTTATGAGGTAGAATTCGCTTTTTGGAATTTTCTTAGGGAGAAAAACCCTGTTTACTTGTGCAATAGATATTCAAAACTGAACATAAGTCAATAACATTATGCTATCGTTAAAAAAATAAGAACAGAGTTGAGCACACAAATGAAACCAGTAGGAAACACCCATTCTCAACACTGGTCAAATTTTGTAGCATTCTGTTCAACTCTCAAGAGTTCAGGTAAGGCCAGGTGCAGTGGCTCACGCCTGTAATCCCAGCACTTTGGGAGGCCGAGGCGGGCGGATCACGAGGTCAGGAGATTGAGACCATCCTGGCTAACACAGTGAAACCCCACCTCTACTAAAAATACAAAAAAATTAGCTGGGAGTGGTTGCGGGAGCCTGTGGTCCCAGCTACTTGGGAGGCTGAGGCAGGAGAATGGCGTGAACCCGTGAGGCGGAGCTTGCAGTGAGCTGGATCGCGCCACTGCACTCCAACTGGGGCGACAGAGTGAGACTCCGTCTCAAAAAAAAAAGAGTTCAGATAAATCACACTGCAAATTTTTAAAGATTTATTTGACTGTTAAACCTCCTGTTTAAAACTGCACATTCTTACAGCTATTTACCATACATATAAGATATCTCTTAAGAACTGGAGATAGTCAGCTCCCGTGGGTTAATTTGAAGCAGAAGAGGGCAGTTGTTATACCAAGTCAGTTGGATGTGGAGTCTTACTCAAAATTCATTCTCAGCATTCTTCTTTTATGGTATCTTCTTTGGCACTTAGCAGTGCATCGGGTAGGCATCTTCTATTTTTCTTCATTCTTTAATTTCCTTTGTATCCCTCAAATGGCTATTTATTTGGTTGGAGTCTGTTTTGTTCATTAAGCAAACATGTCTTTGCTTTGAACATGTCTTTGATTTGATGGATACTTACATTCCTCATCAAACATTTTTTTTGCTATGCATAACGTTTTCTTTGGCCAACTCCAGCAATTTCCCACATTTTGACATGCAATCATGTTAACTCCCATTTTCTTTTGTAATCCAACACCTTCTATTTAGATAGATTACTTTAACAATCAGTGACTTAATATTCTAATCATAAATTTATACAAAAATAAAATTACCTCCAAAACATTGCTACCTTTCCTAAACATTCAGTCTTGCCACAGTTTAATAAAAGGAAAGAACATTAAAAAGGATAAGCCACTATAATGATTAGATGCTTTTCATAAGCCTAAAGGCATTGTGATTATTTAGACAGAAGAGAAGAAAGTCAAGTGAAAACCTGATAGTTATGTAGTCTCATGGTTTGCTGTTGAGAGGTTGATCACCAGCTGCTTTTCTTTTCTAGGAAGACAACAAAGTGGGCTTTGGCTATGACATAAATATATTGGGTTAGACAGTTTTACTACAGTAAGAACAATGGGATGAGTTGCTCAGGAAATTGTGAAATACTTTCTAATGATCTTTAAAGATATAACAAACACGAATTCATCTGGATTTTAGGTGTGGTCCTGGTTAACGGCAAAGGGAAGGGTCAAAGAACTTCATGCTTTTTCCATTTTAACATACCCAATAGATTCTTGATTAGGGGAAGGGAAAATGAGCAAGATACAGTCCAGTATTCTAAAAACAATCAGCCTTAGGGGATCATTTCAAAAGCATCTGTTTTGGACTTAAGTCTTTGGTACTTAACCAAATTGACTTCACACTGAAAAATTCTAGTGCCTGAGTTTTATAGGGTAGAAGAAAGACATGGAGTCAAGTGGCCAACACTTCATGTGAAGATAAGCAATGAGCTCCTTCTTGCTGTCTTTCTTTTGACTGTTCTGGGCAATATCAAATTAGTTTCTGTGGTTTGATTATAGGCCAGATTGTAGTCTTACCTTGTTTTCCTCAATCTCACTGGATCTCTCTCTCTTTTTTCCCCCCTTAGGCTGAGGGTAAAAAGCTGGGATTGGTAGGCTGGGTCCAGAACACTGACCGGGGCACAGTGCAAGGACAATTGCAAGGTCCCATCTCCAAGGTGCGTCATATGCAGGAATGGCTTGAAACAAGAGGAAGTCCCAAATCACACATCGACAAAGCAAACTTCAACAATGAGAAAGTCATCTTAAAGTTGGATTACTCAGACTTCCAAATTGTAAAATAATGGCCTGAATTTAAGTTTTGTTTTTGGTTGATTTGGTTTGGTTTTTATTGTTAATAGAGATAGAACTATTGTGTGTTAATATTAGCATTAGTCAATAAGTTATTTTAATGTCAGATATTTGAATGTTATTATATATTACCTGTATGATGGAAGGATTATTACTGTACACAAATCTAATCAATAAAAACATTAGAACCTTCTGCTTAGAGTACTTTTTAAAAATCTTCAGTGAACTTCCTTTTGGGCGAAATAAGAAGTATTTATTCAGTAAACATTTGTGGGAGGATTTTGAGGTAATTTAAAGAAGTCTGAAAGAAAAAAAGTTATGTTAGTCATTTCTTTAAATGGTTTCTATGAAATGTTCTTCAAGAAACTGCATGCCTAATAAGAACAAATACCACAAGTTCAATTTGTTAGCTCTGTTCATATGATGTTTGGATGAATTACTTCTGCTGTTGTTTCTTTTCTCTGGGTAAGGAATTCACATAAAGTTATGTTACGGGCTGAACTGTGTCCCACCAAATTCATATGTTAAAGTCCCAGTCCCCAGTACCTCAGAAAGTGACTGTATTGGGACACAGAGCCTTTAAAGAGGTAATTAAGGTTGAATGAGGCTGTGAGGGTGGGCCCTACTCCAGTCTGACTGGTGTTCTTATAAGAGAACATATTGGACATAGACACACATGTGCAAAAATGAAAGACCCTGTGAAAATGGCCATCTACAAGCCAAGGAGAGGCCTCAGAAGAAATCGTTGCTGCCAACACCTTGATCTCAGACTTCTAGTCTCTAGACCTGAGAGGAAATAGACTGCTGCTGCTTAAGTTACTCAGTCTGAGGTATTTTGTTATAGCAGTCCTAGCTATAGTAATAATCATAAACAGTTATCAGGATTTTGCTTAATCAGCCCTAGAAGACTGGTTGGTTGGGTTTGGTTAGTCACTAAACTAGTATATGTCAAATGCTTACCAGGTCTGACAAATTTGTTATAAATTCCACTTTAAATAAATTCTCAATGAAAATGAGATAGAAAGCAAAAACTAAGGACTGGTTAACAATTTCAAAACACTTTATTCTCACAGCATTCTCAGAGTTCTGCTCTCCTTTAGTTATAAAAGAAGCTGTGGTGGCATTGGGGAGATTCAAGTCAGTGAAGAGAGTCTTGGTGTTGTCGTCTGTAAATTAAGAGTTGAGCAAAGGCCGGGTGCGGTGGCTCACACCTGTAATCCCAACACTTTGGGAGGCCGAGGTGGGCAGATCACCTGAGGTCGGGAGTTCAAGACCAGCCTGACCAACATGGAGAAATCCCCGTCTCTACAAAAAATACAAAATTAGCCGAGCGTGGTGGTGCATGCCTGTAATCCCAGCTACTCGGGAGGCTGAGGCAGGAGAATCTCTTGAACCCGGGAGGCGGAGGTTGCGGTGATCTGAGATCACGCCATTGAACTCCAGCCTGGGCAACAGCCTCTGTCTCAAAAAAAAAAAAAAAAAAAAAAAAAGAGTTGAGTTAGACAGTTTCTCAGCCTTTTCCAGCTCCAAATGCTATAATTCTAAGATGGAAGCCTCTGGAATTATTCATTCAGTGCCTACCATAAGCCAGGCACTGCTCTTGGTAACTGGGATACAGCAGTAAACAAAATATATAAACTCTTTACCTTCACATAGCTTACATTCTAGGGAGAGAAGACAATAAGCAAACATAAAATATATATTGAATTAAACGGTAGTTAAGAGCAAAGGTGAAAATGAGAAAAAAAGGAAAGGGAACACACGGGAAAAAAACAAACAAACATAAAAACAAAAGTAAAAGTTACGACATAGTCTTTCACACCATGCCAAAAGGGGATAAGGATTGAGACTGTAGGTACCCGTTCACTGAACCCTGGGATGCGGATCCTTGGCTGGAACACCTGACGCGCATGCGCACTGGTGTGTCGTGGCCTGGCGCGCCCCTCCGAAGCGCATGCTCGTGGACTCGCACGTGCACGAGCCTCAAGACCCAAGGTGCGCGCGTCGGCGTCCCAGGCGGTTGGTGTCCGAGAATTGGTTAAGCTGGACTCGAGGTGACTCTGGGGGAAGCACGCGACGAAAAGATGTTGCCGGGGGCTCTTCTAACACCAGAAGGGCCTGATGATGGCTGCGCGCAGCTTTCGGAGCCGGATGCGCGAGGACCCCGGAGGCCCGGCGGCCTGGCGGCAGGGCGGGCCCGGTGTGGGGACAAGGACGGGGCTGGCTGGGGAGGGGCTGGGCCTGGCGGGAAGGCGGCGCTGCCCTGGACGCGGCCCGCGCGGCGCTCCCAGGCCCCTGGGCCCTGGATCCAGGCCAGTGCGTTGCGTCCGTCCCAAGCGCAGGCGTCATCAGGAAATCGTTGGGTTTACATTAATCGGAATACTTGTTAAACGTTTGCCCCTCACTTGCTGCCGGCTGCGAAGTGCATTAGCTTAGAAAGCAGCAGAAGTTCTGCAGTTAGATCCCTGATTTTCCCGGGTTCGGAAAACCAACCCCACCGCCTACAGGGGGCTCCCCCACGCGGCTTTCACTGATGGAGAAGAGGGGGAGACCTTTAATGGCACTAGAATCTTAGGGTTTGGGTTTTTTAGATGTTTTTTGTTTTTGTGCTTTTACTTGCAGGAAAACTTAAAATCAAATTCAGGCAGCCCCATGCCATCATTATTATTACCAGGGTAGTTTATGCCCGTCTGTAAAGACCAAAAGAATATTAATAATAATGACCGTCTGGCTGGGCGCGGTGGCTCACACCTGTAATCCCAGCACTTTGGGAGGCCAAGGCGGGAGGATCACTTGAGTTCAGGAGTTTGAGACCAGGCTGGTCAACATGGTGAAACCCCATCTCTACATAAAAGACAAAAATTAGCCAGGCGTGGTGGTGCGCGCCTGTAATCCCAGCTACTTGAGAGGCTGAGGCTGGAGGATTGCTTGAGCCCAGGAGGTGCAGGCTGCAGTGCCGAGATTGTGTCATTGCACTCCAGCCTGGGTGGCAGAGCAAGACCCTGTTTCAAAAAAGAATAATAACGACCTTCTAAAAACATGAGTAATACGTGAACAGGATTTAACAATCGAATGGCAAAGAAAGGTTTATATGAAAAGGAATTTTCCTGCTTTATCTTTTCCCATTCCCAACCTCTTTCCCTGAGGTGACTATACTTAACCATAATAATAATAATCTCTTAATGCCCCCAATTTCTCTTTGATACAATTTGATTCTTAAAATTTCTTCCTATTGCTTCACCTTATTGCAATGTCTTAGCAATTCATTATAAGTGCTTTTCTAAAAGTCATGGTTATTGTGTAATGTATAAATGTTATGAAACTAGCTTGGACATTTTTGTCGTGAATAATTTCTAGCTAATGTTCCTTAGCTGTATTTAATTTAAGCATCTGTTTTTGGTGAAGTGGTTAGAATTTCTAATACTGTCTTTACCGGTCAACTTCAAGTGTAATTATGATTTCACTTTAGGACATGTGGGATTTAGAAAGGAGCATTGAAAATTATGAAATTATGAATGTTTCTTTGGATGTGAATTCATTGCACCAAGCATGAGCTGTGCCTAGAGATCAGTGGTATAACTTTGTTTTGCTTTGTTTCACAATTTGGTTTAATAAGAGCGATTTCATTTGCCTCAAATGCTATTTCTTCATAATGCTTGAAAGAAATGTGTAATGCTGTAGCTTTGATTATGTGCGTGTGTGGTTTTTTTCTCCTATAGGCAATTATTTCCCGTCAGAGAAGGAAACCATTGCTTGGCATTCTCACCATCTTTCTACCTACCATGATCAAGTGCTTGTCAGTTGAAGTACAAGCCAAATTGCGTTCTGGTTTGGCCATAAGCTCCTTGGGCCAATGTGTTGAGGAACTTGCCCTCAACAGTATTGATGCTGAAGCAAAATGTGTGGCTGTCAGGGTGAATATGGAAACCTTCCAAGTTCAAGTGATAGACAATGGATTTGGGATGGGGAGTGATGATGTAGAGAAAGTGGGAAATCGTTATTTCACCAGTAAATGCCACTCGGTACAGGACTTGGAGAATCCAAGGTTTTATGGTTTCCGAGGAGAGGCCTTGGCAAATATTGCCGACATGGCCAGCGCTGTGGAAATTTCGTCCAAGAAAAACAGGACAATGAAAACTTTTGTGAAACTGTTTCAGAGTGGAAAAGCCCTGAAAGCTTGTGAAGCTGATGTGACTAGACCAAGCGGTGGGACCACTGTAACAGTGTATAACCTATTTTACCAGCTGCCTGTAAGGAGGAAATGCATGGACCCTAGACTGGAGTTTGAGAAGGTTAGGCAGAGGATAGAAGCTCTCTCACTTATGCACCCTTCCATCTCTTTCTCTTTGAGAAATGATGTTTCTGGTTCCATGGTTCTTCAACTCCCTAAAACCAAAGACGTATGTTCCCGATTTTGTCAAATTTATGGATTGGGAAAGTCCCAAAAGCTGAGAGAAATCAGTTTTAAATATAAACAGTTTGAGCTTAGTGGCTATATCAGCTCTGAAGCACATTACAATAAGAATATGCAGTTTTTGTTTGTGAACAAAAGACTGGTTTTAAGGACAAAGCTACATAAACTCATTGACTTTTTATTAAGGAAAGAGAGTATTATATGCAAGCCAAAGAACGGTTCCACCAGTAGGCAAATGAGTTCAAGTCTTCGGCACCGGTCTACCCCAGAACTCTATGGCATATATGTAATTAATGTGCAGTGCCAATTCTGTGAGTATGATGTGTGCATGGAGCCAGCCAAAACTCTGATTGAGTTTCAGAACTGGGACACTCTCTTGTTTTGTATTCAGGAAGGAGTGAAAATGTTTTTAAAGCAAGAAAAATTATTTGTGGAATTATCAGGTGAGGATATTAAGGAATTTAGTGAAGATAATGGTTTTAATTTATTTGATGCTACTCTTCAGAAGCGTGTGACTTCCGATGAGAGGAGTAACCAGGGCAGTTTCCAGGAAGCATGTAATAATATTTTAGATTCCTATGAGATGTTTAATTTGCAATCAAAATCTGTGAAAAGAAAAGCTACTGCAGAAAACATAAGCACACAGAATTCTAGGGATTTAGAAGCTATCAGAAAAAATACAAATGATGCATTTTTATGCATTTATGAATCAGGTGGTCCAGGCCATAGCAAAATGACAGAGCCATCTTTACAAAACAAAGACAGCTCTTGCTCAGAATCCAAGATGTTAGAACAAGAGACAATTGTAGCATCAGAAGCAGGAGAAAATGAGAAACATAAAAAATCTTGCCTGGAACATAGCTCTTTAGAAAACCCATGTGGAACCAGTTCAGAAATGTTTTTAAGCCCTTTTCAGACACCATGTCACTTTGAAGAGAGTGGGGAGGATCTAGAAATATGGAAAGAAAGTACTACTGTTAATGACATGGCTGCCAACGTCATGAAAAATAATAGAATTCAGAATCAACCAGAGAGATTTAAAGATGCTACTGAAGTGGGATGCCAGCCTCTGCCTTTTGCGACAACATTATTGGGAGTACATAGTGCTCAGACAGAGAAGGAGAAAAAAAAAGAGCCTAGCAATTGTGGAGGAAGAAATGTTTTTAGTTACGGACGAGTTAAATTATGTTCCACTGGCTTTATAACTCATATAGTACAAAATGAGAAAACTAAATCAATTGAAACAGAACATGCATTTAAAAATTATGTTAGACCTGGTCCCACACGTGCCCAAGAAACATTTGGAAATAGAACACGTCATTCAGTTGAAACTCTAGACCTCAAAGATTTAGCCGGCACTTTAAGTAGAGAATCTGGTCAATTGCCCAACAAAAAAATTTGCAGAACAAATATAAGTTGTGGGCTAGAGAATGAACCTACAGCAACTTATGCAAAGTTTTCTACTTTTCAGCAAGATAGCAAAAAATCACAAACAGGTTGCATATTATCTGATACATCCCCCTCTTTCCCCTGGTATAGACACGTTTCAAATGATAGTAGGAAAACAGATAAATTAATTGGTTCCTCCAAACCAATCGTCCGTAAGAAGCTAAGCTTGAGTTCACAGCTAGGATCTTTAGAGAAGTTTAAGAGGCAATATGGGAAGGTTGAAAATCCTCTGGATACAGAAGTAGAGGAAAGTAACGGAGTCACTACCAATCTCAGTCCTCAAGTTGAACCTGACATTCTGCTGAAGAACAAGAACTGCTTAGACAACTCTGATGTTTGTAAAATCACTACTATGAAGCATAGTGATTCAGATAGTAGTTGCCAACCAGTAAGCCACGTCCTTGACTCAGAGAAGCTTCCATTCTCCAAGGATGAAGATTGTTTAGAACAACAGATGCCTAGTTTGAGAGAAAGCCCTATGACCCTGAAGGAGTTATCTCTCTTTAATAGAAAACCTTTGGACCTTGAGAAGTCATCTGAATCACTAGCCTCTAAATTATCCAGACGGAAGGGTTCCGAAAGAGAAACTCAAACAATGGAGATGATGAGTCGTTTTAATGAACTTCCAAATTCAGATTCCAGTAGGAAAGAGAGCAAGTTGTGCAGTGTGTTAACACAAGATTTTTGTATGTTATTTAAAAATGAGCATGAAAAAACAGAGAATGGTGTCATCCCAACATCAGATTCTGCCACACAGGATATTTCCTTTAATAAAAATAGTAAAACACATTCTAACAGCAATACAACAGAGAACTGTGTGATATCAGAAACTCCTTTGGTATTGCCCTATGATAATTTTAAAGTTACCAGTAAAGATTCAGATGTTCTTATCAGAGCTTCAGAACAACACACAGGAAGTCCGGACTCTCCCAGTGGAATGTTAATGAATCTGGTAGACGATGCCACAGGTGACCAAAATGGAATTTGTTTTCAAAGTGAGGAATCTAAAGCAAGAGCTTGTTCTGAAACTGAAGAGTCAAACACGTGTTGCTCGAATTGGCAGCAGCATTTCGATGTAGCCCTGGGGAGAATGGTTTATGTCAACAAAATGACTGGACTCAGCACATTCATTGCCCCAACTGAGGACATTCAGACTGCTTGTACTAAAGACCTGACAACTGTGGCTGTGGATGTCGTACTTGAGAATGGTAAGTACGTACTGTTCATGTGCATGAGATGCTTTTGAAAATGGAAATGCTGGACAAGGAGTAAGATCCTCATTATCCAAAGAGATTATCTCAACAGATAGAACATTTTGAAGACCACTTACAAAACATATATTGTATTTTCATGCTATATGAAGATTATCTACATCCAACGCTAATTTTTTTTTTTTTTTTTTTTTTGAGACGGAGTCTTGCTCTGTCACCCAGGCTGGAGTGCAGTGGTGCGATCTTGGCTCACTGAAACCTCTGCCCCCACCCCCGGTTCAAGCGATTCTCCTGCCTCAGCCTCCCATGTAACTTGGATTACAAGAGTGTACCACCATGCCCAGCTACATTTTTTTATTTTTAGTAGAGACAGGATTTCACTATGTTGGCCAGGCTGGTCTCAAACTCCTGGCCTCAAATGATCCACCCGCCTCAGCCTCCCAAAGTGCTGGGATTATAGGTGTGAGCCACTGCACCCAGCCTCTATGTCCAACACTATTAAATGGAGAATACAGTTAAAAGATGTCAGTGTGTGTATGTGTAAGAAAGGGGGTGATAGGTATATATCTAGAACAACAATAAAAAAAAGGGATGAGACTGTCCAATTTTAATGAAATGATACTATTAATAGTTGGGAAGATCCACAGTACTTTCCTACCTTGTTTTCCCTTCCTGTCAAATGCCCAACTTTCCTAGAAACTTGTCTTTAAAGGTGCCTGTGGTGTCAGCATGGTATTTTACTGGAACTTTCTCCGCATGGCTTCCAGGTTAAGGGCCAGAATGATTCTGTAATCATCCTAGGTTTTCCAGTAAACTCTATGGCTTAGTACAGTACTACATTTATGAGCTTTTTCTTTCTGGAAAGTAGGACTTGTCCATGAATTTTCAAAATATAGGTCAAGTATGTACTTTCATGACTATACTTTTGAAGTGTGCTTTATTGTAATGCATGTGGTAAAATCTCCTTGATCTGTTTATGTTATAAAAGTAGCTGTTATTCAGGAAGACAATAATATGGCATTTATTTATTCATGTATTTATGTATGTATGTATGTATTTATTTATTTGAGACGGAGTTTCACTCTTGTTGCCCAGGTTGGAGTGTAGTGGCATGATCTCGGCTCATTGCAACCTCCGCCTCCCAGGTTCAAGCAATCCTCCTGCCTCAGCCTCCCAAGTAGCTGGGATTACAGGCATCTGCCACTACACCCGGCTAATTTTTTGTATTTTTGTAGAGACGGGGTTTCACCATGTTGGCCAGGCTTGTCTCAAACTCCTGACCTCAGGTGATCCACCTGCCTCGGCCTCCCAAAGTGGTGGGATTATAGGTGTGAGCCACTGTACCCGGCCAATATAGCTTTTAGATCATACCACAGGGCTACATTTGAGCCTGCACTAGGACTCTGGGTTCTCAGTCCACATTTAAAGTGATATTGCTTTGGCAGTGTGTTGGGAGCCAGATGTTGGGAGGTGATAAACCTGATTTCCATCTGGCTATAATCTTGGCTTTGTACTAGGAGGATAAACATTACATCTGTATCCATATTAAAAATTTTGAATGCTGCAGAAGAATGGAACATGTGTAAATGTAATTATAAGTCAATTTTTAATTTCTCCTGACCATGAGTACCTCTAGCAGGAAGCTGTGATTTCTTTAAGGTTAAATGAGACCTTTACTTTTCAGTGTTTTTCTGTTTTTTCCTTATGAAAAAAAAATCACTGTAGTAACTTCAGTAGTATTTCTTAGTATTTTGTAGTATTCATTAGGAGAAAACTCATTTCTTTCACTGTTGTTCCTGAGACTATCAAGTTGCTCTTAAAGCCACTTTATGTGCTTTTCAATCTATGTGGTTTTATGTCTGACTTATATTGAAGGCTTATCAGAGGTAAATCTACAGCACTGACACCTCATCTTCCTGAAATGCAACTGCTTCTGATATGGTGCCAAAAAATAACTGGATTACATTACACTGTGAGATAGCTGTTGCTAAAAGAAAGGGGGAAATCTTAGCTGCCATACTCAACATAAATATCTCTTCCTTTTGAATCTAGATGTTTAAAACACTTTAACCTACTTAACATTCTGGATTAGCATACTTTTTTATAAACTTTTGAAAGCCATGTTAACTCATAGTTTCCCAATGAAAAATATTTTTGGTATAAAAAGAAGTTCCATGAACAGATGGCTCCTCAGTATCCTGCTACCTTTCTGGAAATGGCCGATATACATCATGATATTAGGACATTGTCAAACTTTACATAAAAGTGTTACATGAGATAAATTGTTAAAAGATAATTTTTTTTAATTTTTATTTTTATTTTTTTTTGGAGACAGAGTTTTGCTCTTGTTGCCCAGGGTAAAGTGAAATGGTGCGATCTCGGCTCACTGCAATCTCCGCCTTCTGAGTTCAAGCGATTCTCCTGCCTCAGCCTCCTGAGTAGCTGGGATTACAGGCATGCACCACCATGCCTGGCTAATTTTGTATTTTTAGTAGAGATGGGATTTCTCCATGTTGGTCAGGCTGGTCTCAAACTCCCAAGCTCAGGTGATCTGCCCGCCTCAGCCTCCCAAAGTGCTGGGATTATAGGCATGAGCCACTGGCCTAAAAGATAAATTTTAATGTACAGAAGAGAGGATCTATAAAGGTGATTTTGAGTAGTAGTGTCAAGTCCCCAAGCCTTGGTAATTTTTTCTTTAAAATGTATTTAATGCAGTTCTTTCTGTTAGTAGTTATAAACCTTATTTCACTTCATTATCTTAATTTTATCATTCTTAACCTCTCCAGGTTTAGTCCAACGGATTTATCTCTCATGTTTTCCTCCTGTTCTAAAGCTGTCAAATTCAGCATTGTTTCTACAACTCAAATCTTATTATCCTTCATGGAGAAGAACAGCATTTGGGCCAGATCTTACTAGACTCTGGAGTTTGAATTGAGAACCTTTCATTTGTCCACCTGTTCACTTTTTCATGAAACATTTGTTGATCATCCGCACTGTGCTAGATGCTGTCACATTGCAGGTTAACTGACTTTGCTTTCAGGAGTTCACAGTACTATTAGGGAAGATAGCTATCTAAACATAGTTGTATTATAATGAGACAAATGTTAGGATAGAGACATACATTGGAGATAAGAGACATAAGTTGGAGATCTGTGAAGGTTGCACCAAGTTATAGGTGACAATTAAGTACTGCTGTATGTCTAACACAGGGCTTCGCCGGATAATTTTTTGTCGTAGGGTTTGTCCTATGCATTGTAGGATATTTAGCAGCATCCGTGGCCTTTATCTGCTAGATGCTAGTAGAACGTAGAACCCTTTACTTAAGTTGTGACAATGAAAAGTGTCTCAAGCCGGGCACGGTGGCTCACACCTCTAATGCCATCACTGTGGCAGGCGGAGGCGGGCGGATCACAAGGTCAAGGGTTTGAGACCATCCTGGCCAATATGGTGAAACCCCATCTCTACTAAAAATACAAAAAAATTAGCCAGGTGTGGTGGCTCATGCCTGTAATCCCAGCTACTTGGGAGGCTGAGGCAGGAGAATTACTTGAACCCGGGGGGCGGAGCTTGCAGTAAGCTGAGATCACGCCACTGCACTCCAGCCCGGGTGACAGAGCGAGACTCCATCTCAAAAAAAAAAAAAAAGTGTCTCAAGACATTGCCGATGTCCCGTCGTGCAAAATGGCCCCCCATTGAGAATCACAGTGACCTATTCTAGGTCTTCATTCTGTCTGGTATGAATGGATAATGGAACTAAGCATTAATATAGAGTCGTATATTGACAGCATAATTTCATTAAAGGATTTCTGATTCTCAATCTGGTGTTTAGTAGTCTGCTTTATGTCTTGACTCAGTTTATGCAGAAAGAGGTTTTATGTGATTAAATTTTTAAAGAGTTTACTTGTATTTTAAGTTCACATTTCTAGGTTTTTCTTTCTTATATTTAGGGTCTCAGTACAGGTGTCATCCTTTTAGAAGCGACCTTGTTCTTCCTTTCCTTCCGAGAGCTCGAGCAGAGAGGACTGTGATGAGACAGGATAACAGAGGTAGGGGTGGCAGAGACTGCTGGGGCACCCAGTACACATCGTACCACCTAACTCAAAAAACAAAGCAGGCTTGCATTAAGCTTGATCAGTGCCAGCTGTGCTGTTCTGGAATCAGGAATTCCCCATGGCGCTATTTAACAGCGGAACTAATTAATTTAGTGCATGCATTTAGATCAGAAATTACTATTCCAGACTTGAGGTCAGTATTTGCTGATTATGCATATTCTGTGGTGTCTTGTAATTAGGGGACATGTTTCTTATTTTTAAAAAGGCTGGACTTACCCTCCAAGTTGCTGTAGTTTTATGTAAACAAAACTCTTCAAAAAAAGCTACAGGCCTGGCGCTGTAGCTCAAGCCTGTAATCCCAGCACTTTGGGAGGCCGAGATGGGCGGATCACGAGGTCAGGAGATCGAGACCATCCTGACTAACACGTTGAAACCCCATCTCTACTAAAAAAATACAAAAAACTAGCCGGGCGACATGGCGGGCAACTGTACTCCCAGCTACTCGGGAGGCTGAGGCAGGAGAATGGCATGAACCCGGGAGGCGGAGCTTGCAGTGAGCTGAGATCGGGCCACTGCACTCCAGCCTGGGCGACACAGCCAGACTCCATCTCAAAAAAAAAAAAAAAAAAATACAGACATCAATTTTTTGCGTTTGTTTAAAAATAGATAAGGTCTATTTTATTTAAAGGCAGTAAGGCTACAAATTTGAGCCATAGCTTCTCTGTTAGTATTCCAAAATATCTCTTGTAAACAGTTTGGAGAAAAGTTGTAATGCCAGAAGATACAGTCACCAACTCTAGTTTAAAAAGTAACAGATCAAAATAATTTAGAGATATAGCAAACACTGAACATTTGTAGAATATAGAAACAATGTATGTGATCTTTGGTCTTGAGGCTACAGCTCACCAAACAGGAAATGCCATTCCCTCCTTTCCCTGTGGTTCTGGATGCCAACTTTACCTGTTCCCTTTTGCCCTAGATACTGTGGATGATACCATTAGTAGCGAATTGCTTCAGTCTTTGTTCTCAGAATGGGACAATCCAGTATTTGCCCGTTATCCAGAGGTGGGTCTGTAGCAGTTTTTCTTTGTCTTTTTTTTTTTTTCTTATTATTATTGTTTTTATTTTGAGATGGAGTTTCGCTCTTGTTGCCCAGACTGAAATGCAATGGCACGATCTCGGCTCACGTAACCTCCGCTTCCCAGGTTCAAGCGATTCTCCTGCCTCAGTCTCCCAAGTAGCTGGGATTACAGGCATCTGCTACCACGCCCAGCTAATTTTGTATTTTTAGTAGAGATGGGGTTTCTCCATGTTGGTCAGACTGGTCTCTAACTCCCAACCTCAGGTGATCTGCCTGCCTCGGCCTCCCAGAGTCCCGGGATTACAGGCGTGAGCCATCACTCCTGGCCTTTCTTTGCCTGTTATTTTAAACTTTTGAGTTTCAAGATGGGTACAGTGGCATGCACTTATAGTCTCAGCTACTCAGGAGGCTGAGGTGGGAGGATCACTTGAGACCAGGAGTTCAAGGCTATATAGTGTGCTGATTGTGCCTGTGACTAGCCACTGCACTATAGCCTGGGCAACATAGTGAGACTCTATCTCTTAAAAATTAAGTAAATTAATTAAAATTAAAATTTGAATTTTATTTAAGCTGGGTATGGGCATGCAAGACTATACTAATTTGTAATTATGATTGGAAACTGGGCATATTTCCACATAATTTATTTGGAAGTTACTGTTTAATGTAGAGAGGAGAAATAAAATTTATAGCATTTTGGGAGCTCAGGCATTTTGGATTAAACATGTACAATCAATGTAAGAATAGCAAATGTGTTTACCACTCTCAGAAACTCTGACTTGTAGCTTTGGCACAATATTCAGGGTGGTGATAATAAAATTGTTATCATTAGATAAAGCCACACATCTTCTACTGGAGGAACAGTTCCTCATTGGCCCTGGGTGGATGTTCTCTCCTCAGTGTATTTTCACAGAATGTACTGTGCATGTTATAAACAGGTTGTATAATAGATGAGCATTTGTTTACCAGTTTTTTCGTCAAGATATCATTTGAGGACTTGATCATAGAACATAGATAAATTGTTGTTCTGAAACTATTTTTGTTTTGTCAGTAATTTTGTTTATAAGCAAAAATTGTTACGTAAAGTCTTACATAAGACTCGTTTTTCACAGATTCTTTTGAATTTCTTTTTTTTTTTTTTTTGAGGTGGAATCTCGCTCTGTCGCCCAGGCTGGAGTGCGGTGGCGTGATCTCAGCTTACTGCAAGCTCCGCCTCCTGGGTTCATGCCATTCTCCTACCTCAGCCTCCTGAGTAGCTGGGACTACAGGCGCCCGCCACCGCGCCCAGCTAATTTTTTGTATTTTTTAGTGGAGATGGGGTTTCACCGTGTTAGCCAGGATGGTCTCAATCTCCTGACATCGTGATCTGCCCACCTCGGCCTCCCAAAGTGCTGGGATTACAGGCGTGAGCCACAGTGCCCGGCCGATTCTTTTGAATTTCTACAAATTCCCTGAATTAAACCCACCTCTAGTAGGCTATATAAAAATGAATACTTTTAAAGCACTCTGATATCTTTGGTAAAACAGTTCTGCTGACACAAAAATTAAAATTTCAATTGTATTTTGCTGAGTCTTTCTAGGTTGCTGTTGATGTAAGCAGTGGCCAGGCTGAGAGCTTAGCAGTTAAAATTCACAACATCTTGTATCCCTATCGTTTCACCAAAGAAATGATTCATTCAATGCAGGTAAAAGATTGACTTCAAAATCTCATAAATATATGTATAAGGCCTAACTCTTCTAAAATTTGATTTATTTAATGATATAGACCACCTCAGTCAAGGCACGTGTGTGTGTGTGTGTGTGTGTGTGTGTGTGTGTTCTTACCTTACTAGAACTTTTATCATCAGAAGAAAAAGCAAGGAATTAATTATAATTACAAAGAAAGAAATGTCTTTAGTAGTGTGAGTAGGTTTGGAGGGAATGAATTATGAATTCGGGTTGACAGTTTCAAGGATTCTCAAGGTTCTCCTGCAGAAGATTATATATTGACTTTATATTTGGCAATAATTTATAAATCAATAAAGTCCTTTAGTGACCTTGTCTTTCAGTGTGCAACAGTGCCCTTTTAGAAATGACCCTCTACTGTGTGAGCCTACACAGGCTTGGGAAAGCCCATATTGAGGAGTCCATTCACAAAAGGGACCCTTTGTCTGATCTGCTTTTCTGCTTTGCCTTCTGTTTACCACCGTGGCTGTCTTACTCCCTTTGTTTTTAGTAAGGAAACAAGTTGGGAGGCTAACAGATTTAGGTAAACTCCTAACCTGGCATTGGCCTGGTACCAGAGCAGGCAAGCAGTTGATCCAGAAATAGGCCCTGGGGCACTGGTTAGGCTCGGGGGTATTGGGGAGCATCATGTACCTAGACAGAGAGGAACCACCAAGGTCTAAAGCCACCAGTGGCTTTTTAACTTACTTCTTTAATAAACTAGCAGCCAGGCACGGTGGCTCTCACCTATAATCCCAGCACTTTGGGAGGCTATCCTGGCTAACACGGTGAAACCCCGTCTCTACTAAAAAATACAAAACATTAGCCGGGTGTGACGGCAGGCTCTTGTAGTCCCAGCTACTCGGGAGGCTGAGGCAGGAGAATGGCGTGAACCCGGGAGGCAGAGTTTGCAGTGAGCCAAGATCGCGCCACTGCACTCCAGCCTGGGTGACAGAGTGAGGCTCCATCTCAAAAAAAAAATAAATTAATTAAAAATAAATAAATAAAAATAAATAGACTAGTTCCTCCAAAATAGTTTTCCTTGCTTTCATATAAATTTTAAAAATTTATTTCAGCCTGTATGTTAGCAATCTCTGGTCACATGACCTATTCTCAAGAGTCACTCTGTTGGGAACATCTCAGGCCTTCTCTAAAGTATTGCTAGCGCACCACTCTGAGAAGTGGGTGTCTGTCTTCCCCTGTCGCTTCCCTCCCCTTACATCTTCTGATCACTCCACTTGCCCATTCTTTCATCCTTCCTAGTGACTGTTTCTGGTTCATCAGAACCTTACCCAGTCTCAGAGAAAGGAGTGTGATAAGGTAAACAACTCTAAATAAAATACAGTTCTGTATCTTTCTATGCAGATAAACCTTTGTTAATTTTTATTTAGTGTTGTACCACTTATTTGAATGTCTGACAGGTTCTCCAGCAAGTCGATAGCAAGTTTATTGCCTGTTTGATGAGCACTAAGACTGAAGAGAATGGCGAGGCAGGTAAGAATAGAGTTTAGCCTGAATGACTAACCAGCTGGTCTTCTTGTAACCTTTTTTTAATGATTATTTTTGGTATATTTCAATGATTTGGATGGATCAGGGAAAGCCAATCTAAACTAAGAATATTATGAAGGCTGGCTGCGGTGGCTCACACCTGTAATCCCAACACTTTGGGAGGCGAGGCAGGTGGATGGCTTGAGGCCAGGAGTTCAGGACCAGCCTGAGCAACATGGCAAAACCCCGTCTCTACTAAAAATACAAAATTAGCTGGGCATGGTGGCATGCTGTAGTCCCAGCTACTCAGGAGGCTAAGGCACAAGAATCACTTGAACTTGGGAGGCAGATGATGCAGTGAGCCGAGATTGCACTATTACACTCCAGCCTGGGTGACAGACATTTAATTTTATGTTCATACACATACATATACTCAGGATGCACATTAAACTATCAAGAGTATTTACTTTGGGAGTGAAAATGAGGGTGTGCAAAGGAGGTATTTCATCTTTTACTCTTTTTGTCTTTTTTTTTTTTTTCCTTTTTGTGGAGAATGGGGTCTCGCTATATTGCCCAGGCAGGTCTCGAACTCCTGGGCTTAAATTGTCCTTCCACCTCTGCCTCCCTAAGAGCTGGGATTACAGGCGTGAGCCACCACGCCTGGCCCATCTTTTACTCTTTTAAATATTTTCTATTGTTTGACTTTTTAATAATATTTTCATGTTTTCCCTTTATAATAATAGAAAGTGTATCTAATGAACTCTGCTAGGTTTGTCAATATTTACACAGAATCTCTTGGTGACCTGCTCTAATGAAACAATAATAGTTTGTAAATATATTAACTCATGCAACAAGTATTAATTGAGTGCCCATTGTATGCCAGGGACTGTACCAGGCCTTAGGGATACAATAATGAGAAAAGATATATATGCGAGAGAAAAAATAATTACACAAACATAAAATTTTAATTCTAGCCCTTGTTATGGAAGAAGAGATACAAGATGCTCTAAGAACCTGTATTGGGAGATTTGATTTCATCAGGGAGTAAAGGGAAGTGCTTCTTGGTAAAATGAGGTCTGAATATGAATATGAATTAACTAAGTAAAGAAAGGAGGGAATAACATAATGCAATTTGTGATTTATTCTCCTCAGTGAGTGGAAACAGAGGAAGGGGAACTGGAGATGGGGCTAGAGAAGTAGGTAGGAGTCAGATCTTAAATGCCAGCTACAAGCTTTGCTTTGTCCCAACACCATTGGAAACCATTGAAAGCTTTTTTTTTTTTTTTTCCATTTTTTATCATTGTATTTTGATGTTTTTGGGGTGGTATGTGTCACATCACATTTGCATTTTAAAAAGATTGCTGTGGTTGCAGTGTGAAGAATGGAGTAGGAGTAGGGGTGGAGTTCCAGTTAACTGTAGAGTGACTGTTAAAAGAATATTGTAATATCTGAGACATGGTTAGATGGGACCAGGGTGGACTAGAGAGTAGTGAATGTATTGGAAAGATATTTAGGAGATAGAGTCAGCAGGGCTTGGTGATGGATTGGATATGGGGAAGGTATGTAAAAGATGGCTTCTGGTGTTCTGGCCTCCATAGCTGAGTGAATGATGTTGCAGGACCCGGGTTGCAGGCAGAGCAGAGAGGATGAAAATCATGAGTTCAGTCTAAGTTCTCTTTGAAATGCTCCAGAAGAGATGTCAAGGCAACCGGGCACGGTGGCTCATGCCTGTAATCCCAGCACTTTGGGAGGCTGAGGTAGGCGGATCACGAGGTCAAGAGATTGAGACCATCCTACCCAACATGGTGAAACCCAGTCTCTACTAAAAATACAAAAATTAGCTGGACATGGTGGCAGGTGCCTGTAATCCCAGCTACTTGGGAGGCTGAGGCAGAGAATTGCTTGAACCCAGGAGGCAAAAGTTGCTGTGAGCCAAGATCACGCCACTGCACTCCAGCCTAGGCGACAGAGCAAGACTTTGTCTCAAAAAAAAAAAAGAAAAGATGTCAAGAATGTGGTTGGATATTACAAGTCTGGCCTAGAGAAGTGTTCTGACATGGAGATACAAATTTGAGCCATCAGATGCAGAAAAGTGGTCACTGAAACCCTGGATATAAATGTTACCACCTAGGAAAAAAAAAAAATGAAGAGTGAGGAGAGGTCTTGAATCTAGAATAATTCTAGCACGTAAGAGCTGGGTAGAAGAGGATGAACCAGCAAAACAGACTGTGAAGGAACAGCTAGGGAAATAGGAAGAAAACAGAAGAATGTTGTGTTGGAAAACCAAGACATCATGCCAAACGCTGCCGAAACATTAAGTAAGATGAGGACCATCTGATTTTGTGACAGTAGAGATCAAGGATTTTAGCAAGTGAGAACTGTTTCAGAGAATAGACAGGACAAGACGCTGATGGTGCTAACGCAGACTGCAAGGAGATACTCAGTAATGTGCCTGTGACATGGAAGAGAAGGACTACAGAGCGTGAGGGTGACAGAGGACTTTTTTTTTTTTTTTTTTTTAATGGGAGAATCTTGAGCATATTTACAAGGGATGCTTGATGGGATAAAGTTTCTGAAAAGGCCGGAGTGGCTGAGCCCTGAGCAGCAGTGGAGGGCTGGCTCCAGCTTAATAGCACCTGCAGGCAAGTGCTTCTAAAGTTTTAGAGCATTTATTCTCTATGTATTTCAAAATATTCCCTTTACCTTGTTTAGCAAATGTCATAGTAGATCAAAGGCAAATTAACCTAAAGTTCTGTCAGAATTATCATGAATGTAGAATTTGTGAAGATCAAATTCTTGTAATTTTACTATTTCTAGAAAAGTAATAGATTTTTTTTTTTTTTTTTTTTTGAGGCGAAGTTTTGCTCTTCTTGCCCAGGCTGGAGTGCGGTGGCGCGATCTTAGCTCACTGAAACCTCCGCCTCGTGGGTTCAAGCGGTTCCCCTGCCTCAGCCTCCTGGGTAGCTGGGATTACAGGCGCCCGCCACCACGCCCGGCTAATTTTGTATTTTTAGTAGAGACAGGGTTTCTCCATGTTGGCCAGGCTGGTCTCGAATTCCCGACCTCGGGTGATCCGTCCACCTCGGCCTCCCAAAGTGCTGGGATTACAGACGCGAGCCACCGCACCCAGCCAATTTTTTATTTTTTATTTTTTTGAAAGTTTTCATTATCTGGAATTCTTTGTTGTTTTTGAGATGTCAGAATCTCTACTAATGGTACTCAAGATGGGTGTAGCCACAAAATCTGCAGATGTTAAAAGAAGTAAAATGGATCTGTTGAAATTTCTCTTTTTTTTCTTTATTTTTCTTTATTTATTTATTTTTTTGAGATGGAGTCTTGCTCTGTCGCCCAGGTGGGATTGGAGTGGTGCAATCTCGGCTCACTGCAGTCTCCCTCTCCCGGGTTCAAGGAATTCTTCTGCCTCAGCCTCCTAAGTAGCTGGGAGTATAGGCACGCACCACCACGCCCTGCTAATTTTTGTATTTTTAGTAGAGACAGGGTTTCACAATGTTGGTCAGCTGATCTTGAATTCCTGACCTTAAGTGATCTACCCTCCTCGGCCTCCCAAAGTGCTGGGATTACAGGCATGAGCCACAGGGCCCAGCCAGAATCTGCGTTTTAATAAGATACCCCGGTGGTATTTGTGCACATGAACGTTTGAGAAGCCCAAGTCTAAGGCAGGACAAACATGGCCCGAGGGGAATCCGGGCATCACCTGTTTCTGTACAGCCAGGGAGACGAGAATGGTTTTTACATTTTTTAATGGTTGGGGAAAAAAAAGAAGACTATTTCTTGACACATTAAAATTATATGAAATTAGTATTTCAGTGTCCATAAATAAAGTTTTTTTGGAACGCAGCTACAATATTCACATATTATCTGTGGCTACTTTGGCTCAGAAAGAATTGTTGAGTAGTCATGACAGAAATCGTGTGGCCCAAGAAGCCTAAAATATTTATGATCTGGCCCTTCAGAAAACGTTCACCAGCTTGTGATCTGAAGTGCACTGGAAGTACATTCTTTATGGGTTTCCAAGTAGCTTGTACACCAAGGATAACTGATTATAACAATATGTTGTTTAGTGATCCTTTATCATATTAAAGTTGAATTAATAAGGCAAAATCAGTATTTAAACATAAGAATTATACATTCAAGCTTCAAACTTGAAGAAATGCCACTTTGACTTTTTTTTTTTTTGAGATGGACTCTCACTCTGTTGCCAGGCTGGAGTGCAGTGGCGCAATCTTGGCTCACAGCAACCTATGCCTCCTGGGTTCAAGCAATTCTCCTGCCTCAGCCTCCTGAGTAGCTGGGACTACAGGCACGTGCCACCATGCCCAGCTAACTTTTGTATTTTTAGTAGAGACAGGGTTTCACCATACTGGCCGGGATGGTCTCGATCTCTTGACCTCATGATCCACCCGCCTTGGCCTCCGAATGTGCTGGGATTACAGGCGTGAGGCACCACACCCAGCCCTGACTTTGTTTTCTAAATGAGATACTGGTGAACTAAAGAGTTTCTTAGTTTACCTTTTGTTTCCTAAAAAATGAAATTATGGGGAAAATAATAAACTTATAGGATAAAACTTAGTAATACTGGTAATCTCTGGGGAGAGAAACTAGAAGGGGTGGGAGCAAAGGTGTAAAGGAAACCTTATTATATTCCCTTTTGTGCCTTTCAGAATTGGAGCTGGGATCCAAACTTATGGGATAAGTTTGCTATCATTTTCCCCATAATTCCATGTTTTAGGAAATAAAAGGTACAATTGTTAATACTCAGAATGTTTTGTCTTATGCTGTTGTTAGATAGTTTGAATTAAACCTTGTCTCTCCTCAACACACACAATGGGCATCATCTTGCTCTGAGAATCTGAAAGTTCACAATCCTTGCTCATCTAGGTGGAAACCTGCTCGTGCTGGTGGATCAGCACGCTGCCCATGAGCGTATCCGTCTGGAGCAGCTTATCATTGGTAAGGATCTGTTCGCAACCAGAAAAAATGTGAGACTCCCAGCAGAATCAGTACGCCTCAAAGAGCTTTTCTAAGTGTGACTGTTGTGAGAAAGCACACTTTGTACTGTATGTTCAAAAATTAAACTAAAGTCATCCAGTTTGCCTGTGTAATAACTGAAAGAATGTGGTAGTTCACTAATTGAAAGATATGAGTCTTATTTATGTGGTCAGAGGCATATTTGCCGGATGTTACGAACAACCCAGAGGTACTTGAGGATAGGCTGCTTACTCTGACATCCAGCACAAAGATCTGCCCCCTCCGTATGCCCGGTGATCTTGGCATGCCTTCCCACACTCCATCAGGCAGAGACCACTGGCAGCTCAGAAGGCCCAGTATGCTGTTTTGATTTTAAAATTTAGTTTGCTTTTGAATATGCAGTATAATCAAATAGATCCAATTCTGAAAGGCACAAAAAGGAATGTAATAAAGTCTCCTTTCTACCCTTGCCCCCACCCCTCCTAGTTTCTGTCCCCAGAGACAACCAATATCACTGGTTTTTAAATCTATCTTTCCAAAGCAATATATGCTTTTTAATTTTTTCTTTTTCTTTCTTTTTTTTTTTTTGAGATGGAGTTTCGCTCTTGTTGCCTAGGCTGGAGTGCAATGGCGCGATCTCGGCTCACCGCAACCTCCGCCTCCCAGGTTCAAGCGATTCTTCTGCCTCGGCCTCCCTAGTAGCTGGGATTACAGACACCCGCCACCACGCCCAGCTAATTTTGTACTTTTAGTAGAGACGGGGTTTCTCCATGTTGGTCAGGCTGATCTCGAACTCCCGACCTCAGGTGATCCACCCGCCTCAGCCTCCCAAAGTGCTGGGATTATAGGCATGAGCCGCCATGCCCGGCTTTTTTTTTTTTTTTTTTTTTTTGTGCTACCCTTTTCCTCATCATGAGGCAGTGTGTTCGCCAAGTGGTAAAATACCAGGAAAGTCTTCACTCCTGTGGCCAATGAGTAATGTCAAAGAATTAGGCAAGGAACTAAGGAGTGCTTCATGGACTAGAATGACAATGATATTACTACTGTTTTCACTTTTCCTTATAAAATGACAGCCTAAGAGTTGGGAAAGATATAGTAAAAAGAATGGTAGAAAAACTTGCCTCTACAGGCCCTCCACCTTTTGAGAATAGTACTAATTCTCTCCAGAGACTGGGAGACCCTGCTCAAGGAAAGGGAAGCCTTCTGGAGCCATAAGACTGTGTGGTAAACCCACATATGTTCCTGGTAATCCACATTATTCACCTCTGTCATCAAAACCACATTTATTAACTACAGGAACATTGCCTTGTTCATCTGAATATAAGATGCAAGTCTTACATTTCTTATTTTGAAAAATGTTACCAAAATTGTTAATAGGCTGAATATTTATTACTTTGACTTTAAAAATGGAAATCTAAAATCTAAAACTGAACATTAAACATTCTGCTATGCATTAGAATGATTATCTCAAGGCTGTGCTTTATTTTTATCTGAATCTAGAAGACTTCCCTTCCTACTCTTAACCCATTCATCTTTCTGCCAATAGATTCCTATGAGAAGCAACAGGCACAAGGCTCTGGTCGGAAAAAATTACTGTCTTCTACTCTAATTCCTCCACTAGAGATAACAGTGACAGAGGAACAAAGGAGACTCTTATGGTTAGTACCACCATGAGAATGTGATGTTGATGGTATCAATTCTCACAATAATTCTGTGAGGAATAAGCATAACTATTGTTCCATTTCTCCGATGAGACCAAGAGAGGTTATAAGACTTGTCTAAGGTCATAGCAGTTATTAAGTAGTGGAGTAGGCACTCAAAGGCAGGTCATCTGACTCCACAGGCTGTTTCCTTTTTTAAAATATATTTTTTTCTGCATCTAATCATCCATTAAAATATTTAATTTTTGAGACATGGTCTCACTCTGTTGTCCAGGTTGGAGTGCAGTGGTGTAATCTCTGCTCACTGCAACCTCCACCTTCCAGGCTCAAGCAGTCCTCCCACTTCAGCCTCTCAAGTAGCTGGAACTACAGGTGAGCACCACCATGCTGGACTAATTTTTGTAATTTTTTGGTAGAGATGAGTTTTTGGCATGTTGCCCAGGCTGGTCTGAACTCCTAGGCTCAAGCATTCCTCCCACTTTGGCCTCCCGAAGTGCTGGGATTACAGTCGTGAGCCACTGCACCCAGCCTGTTCTTTCTACTGTATCCAAGATGGTGAGTATAGGATAGAGTTTCCCTGATAATTTTTTCCAGCAGTTGGCTTAGAACACTCTTCTCATTTCTTGGAACAGTCTATGTTTATGCCGTGCTTTGTGAAAGCAAAGTTTCTGCAGTAATTGGTCCCATTCTTCTTTGCCTTGGTGCATTCTAGACTGTTAGTTTTCATTACCGTAATCATAATGTGAAGAAAGTAAAACACTGGGATGTAAGGAAGGAGCAAATCATATAGTGAGTCACAGGATAGGGCATCTTTCCTCTTCTAGGCAGCACAAATTATTGAAAATGAAAAAGAGAATTTTCTCCCAATATGTTTCAAGTTTGGGAATATGATACTGCCAGTAAATCTTTTTTCCCTGTGACATAATTTATAGTAAAGGCAGATATATTTACTTAGATCCCGTTAGTCAGGACTTCTCAGTTCCTTGGGCATTAATTACCTCCCTGCTTTCATGTTGATTCAAGTCACTCTCAGACCTTTTCTTCGTGCCAGACTCCGTTAAGTGCCAGCAGCCAGAAGTTAGCAGTTCCTCAATGAAGAAAACACACTTAGAAACAAGACGTAGACAAAGATTGATTCTCAATGGAAAAGAGAAAAACAGTAAAGATTACTATAATTCAGAAAGGAAATTGGATAATAAAAAATCCCAAACACACACATAAGTGTGAGAATAACAATAGAATTGTTAAGCCCTGTGGCAGCTTTTGAAAAACTATCAAGTAGTATTTGGAACCAGCACTGAAGTGCAAATGAAGTAGCCCTTTTTTTTTTTTTTTTCTTTTTTTTTTTTTTTTTACATTTGAGGTTATCTCTTTAGGTGTTACCACAAAAATCTGGAAGATCTGGGCCTTGAACTTGTATTTCCAGACACTAGTGATTCTCTGGTACTTGTGGGAAAAGTACCACTCTGTTTTGTGGAAAGAGAAGCCAATGAACTTCGGAGAGGAAGATCTACTGTGACCAAGAGTATCGTGGAGGTAAGACACAGCTGCAGATGTTAAGGAAATTGCTGAGTGATGGTAACCTCATATTTTGTCTGTAGATTCTCTGAATTCATCTTTTCTTCAACCAGCATTCATGGTATTTACCTGCTGTGTGCCAGGAGCTAGAAATTCAGAGATGAATTAGCTCAGAATAAGTAAGAAGGGTGTTTAAAGAATTATAGTCAGTGAACTTTGGCTAGCAGAGGTATGTGTTTTGCTTTCTTCCCAATATGATAACGGTCATGAAAACTAAGAGTCTAGAATGCACCAAGATAGTTTTTCAGAAGTGTTATGGAAATATAGAACGACTTCTGTGCCTGGGGAGGTGGAGTCAATGAAACTGTCACAGAAAAGCTGTTTTCTTAAGAGAAGTTTTTACTTTTGAAAGACCAGACCTCACTCTGTTGCCCAGGCTGGAGTGCAATGGTGCAATCTTGGCTCACTGATCTCCTGGGCACAAGCGATCTTCCTGCCTCAGCCTCCCAAGTAACTCGGACTAAAGGCACACACCACCATGCCTGGCTAATTTTTTCCTTTTTTTTTTTTGTAGAGATGGGGGTCTCACTATGTTGCACAGGCTGGTCCTGAACTTCTGGCCTCAAGCAATCCTCCTGCATTGCCTTCCCAAACCCCTGGCGTTACAGGCATGAGCCACTGCACACAGCCAGAAAAGTCTTATAGAATAGTGGGAAACTAGGCCGGGCGCCGTGGCTCACGCCTGTAATCCCAGCACTTTGGGAGGCCATGGCGGGTGGATCACCTGAGGCTGGGAGTTCAAGACCAGCCTGACAAACATGGAGAAACCCCATCTCTACTAAAAATAGAAAATTAGCCAGGCGTGGTGGTGCATGCCTATAATCCCAGCTACTCAGGAGGCTGAGGCAGGAGAATGGCTTGAACCTGGGAGGCAGAGGTTGTGGTGAGCCAAGATTGCGCCATTGCACTCCAGCCTGAGCAACGAGAGTGAAACTCTGTGTCAAAAAAAAAAAGAAAAGAAAAAAAGAAGAGTGGGAAACTGCTGAGTACAGAAGAGGGCAGAAGGGCATTCTAGACAGAGGAATACATATCAGAGACTTGAGGCACATCCTATGTTTAGGGAACTATAATAGATATAGCTCAAATTAAGATCTACAGTTAACCTTTGGACAACTTGGGTCTGAACTGCACAGGTACACTTATATGCAGATTTTCTTCCACCTCTGCCACTCCTGAGACAGCAAGACCTTGCTGTCTCTTCCTCCTTGCTCTTCCTCCTCCTCCTTAGCCTACTCAGTGTGAAAATGATGAGGGTGAAGACCTTTATGATGATTCATTTCCACTTAATGAATAATAAATTCTTACGATTTTCTTAACTTTTTTTTTTTTTTTTTTTTTTTTTTTTTTTTTTTTTGCGATGCCCAGGCTGGAGTGCAGTGGCACAATCTCAGCTCACTGCAACCTCCACCTCCTGGGTTCAAGTGATTCTCCTACCTCAGCCTCCCAAGTAGCTGAGATTACAGGTGCACACCACCACGCCCCAGCTAATTTTTGTATTTTTAGTAGAGATGGGGTCTCACCATGTTGGCCAAGTTGGTCTTGAACTCCTGACCTCAAATGATCCACCTGCCTTGGCCTCCCAAAGTGCTGGGATTACTGGCATAAGCCACCATGCCTGGCCAACATTTTCTTTCCTCTAGCTTACCTTATTGTAAGAATACAGTGTGTAATATATACAACACACAAAATATGTGTTAGTTGACTGTTTATGTTATTGGTAACACTTCTGGTCAACGGTAAGCTATTGGTAGTTAAGATTTGGGGAAATCAGGCCAGGTGCAGTGGCTCATGCCTGTAATGCTCCCAGCATTTTGGGAGGCCAAGGCGGGCAGATCATTTGAGGTCAGGAGTTCGAGACCAGCCTGGCCAACATGATGAGACCCTGTCTCTACTAAAAATACAAAAACTTAGCCAGGCATGGTGGTATGTGCCTGTAATCCCAGCTACTCGGGTGGCTGAGGCATGAGAATTGCTTGAACCTGGGAGGCAGAGGTTGCAGTGATCGAAGATTGCTCCACTGCGCTCCAGCCTGGGTGACAGAGTGAGACTCGTCTCAAAAAAAAAAAAAAGAAAACTGGGGGGAAATCAGAAGTTATACTTGGATCTTTGACTGGATGGGAGTTGGCTAGATGGGTTGTCAAGGTCAAATCATTAAATAATTTAGCATATTCTACTAAGTAGTTTGCATTTTATCCTATAGGCAGCCAGTGAAGAATTTTAAGCAGGAGAGTAAGGTCCGTTTTAGATTCCTTTCCAAATATGATTACTTTACATATATGTTTTGGTAAAGGTTTGGAAAGCTACTGCTGGATGTGGCATTGGAGGTATTAGAGAGGACTATTACTTTTTACTTTGATTACTTATATGTTTCTTTTATGGCAAATATCATTTATTTTGTTTTTATTGTCTTTTTCCTCTCCTTTCCTGTTTTCTATTATAGTTTTCTTTATTTCTCTTTTTTTTTTTTTCTCTACTGGTTTAGAAGTTATATATTCCATTTATATCCTTTTAGAGATTAGCCTTAACTTTTAACATGCATACTTATCACAGTTTAAAAGTAATTCATTTCTCTATCCTCTTCTAACTGTACCAAAATCTTATAAACCGTTCATCTCCTCCCATCTTCCATGTTGCTGTCTAGTACTTTAATTCCACCTTGTTTTTAATCCCCTGGTGGTCATTTTATAGTCAATCTTTATTTAGATTAAACAAAGTGTTCACCAGAGTCTTTGTTCACCATTGCCTCTTGCATCCTACTTATTCTGTGTTCTTTTATGTTCTGTTTTTTTTGGGGGTTTTTTTTGTTTTTTTTTTACTGAAGTAAATCTCTTAAAAGATCTTTTATCCACAAACAGATCTTGAGACAAAAAATACAAAAATATAAAAATAAATAGAAGTTATTTTAGTAAGAGTCCATGGACCAGACATGGTAGCTCATGCCTGTAACCCAGCACTTTGGGAGGCTGAGGCAGGCAGATCATCTGAGGTCAGGAGTTTGAGACCAGCCTGGCCAACGTGCTGAAATGCTGTCTCTACCAAAAACACAAAAATTAGCTGGGCGTGGTGGCGGGTGCTTGTAATTCCAGCTACTCAGGAGACTGAGGCAGGAGAATCACTTGAACCCGGGAGGTAGAGGTTGCAGTGAGCTGGGATCACGCCATTACACTCCAACCTGGGTGACAAGAGTGAAACTCTGTCTCAAAAAAAAAAGTCCATGAATGATAAGCTGTCTTTTAAAGTTTCTTTATTTTCCCTTCATACTTGCATGATTATCTAGCTAAAAGCAGAATTTCACATTGCCAGTTATCCCCCCCACATTTTGAAAATATTTCACTACTTTTGACTTTCTATTTTATTTATTTTATTTTATTTTATTTTATTTATTTATTTATTTATTTATTTTGAGACAGAGTCTCACTCTGTTGCCCAGGCTGGAGTGCAGTGGGATGATCTCAGCTCATTGCAACCTCCACCTCCCAGGTTCAAGTGATTCTCCTGCCTAAGCCTGCCAAGTAGCTGGGATTACAGGTGCCCACCACCACGCCTGGCTAATTTTTGTATCTTTAGTAGAGATGGGGGTTTCACCATGTTGTCCAGGCTGGTCTCGAACTCCTGACCTCAGGTGATCCGCCTACCGTGGCCTCCCAAAGTGCTGGGATTACAGGTGTGAGCCACCACACCCAGCCTGACTTTCTGTTTTAGCCATTGAAGTCCTTTGTCAATCCAATTATTACTCTATAGGTAATCTGATTTTCCCTCTGGTTGCTCTTGCAATGTTCACTTTGTCTTTGGTGTTCTGCAATTTCCCTGTGAAATATCTTTGTATGGATTTATTTTCATTTCCTTCTGGAGATTTGCTGTGCTTCTTCAACTTGGAAAGTATGCAGTCATTATCACCACAAACCTTTATTTCCCATTCTCTGTCTTGGAAATTTTGTCAGATCTACTGGGCCTTATCTTTCTACTCTCTGTGCCTCTTCAAATCTCTTCCGTATTTCCCATTGCTTTCTCTCTCTGTGATACATTCTGCAAAATCTCCTCTTATGTTCCAGTGAACTAAAGGATCTCTTCATCTTGTGTTTAATTATGTGTTTAGCTTATCCACTGAGTTTTTTATTTCAGTGACTAAATTTTTAATTTCAATGACTATATTTTTTATTTCCAGAAGTTGTGGGTTTTTTCCCCCAAATCTCACTCTTCCTTTTTCATCGTGTCCTGCTTTTTTCATTAGTGTTCCTACTCCTTTATCCCTAGCTCTCTTTATTTGGAGCACAGGCAAATCCACATCCACATCGTCTAGAAGTCTGAAGTGCTGTACTAATATCTAAAATAGTAATATCTAAAATTAGAAGATAGATGTAGTAGATAAATTGGGGGATAGATTGATGTGGGAAGATTTGAGTCAGAGAGAGCAGCTGAAGGGTTATTGCAGTCGTGCAGGTAAGAGAAGATGAGGATTGGACTGAGTCAGTAGCAGAGGGAGTAGACAGGAGTGACATATTTGAGACAGAATTTGGGAGGCGGAAGCAAGAGGACCTGGTGAGCAATCGAATGTGAAAGAATAAAGGAGAAAACAAAAGCAACGGTGATTCTGAGGGTTGTAGCATGGGTGGCTGGAAGGATGGTGGTGCCATTGACAGAGAAGGGGCACAGATGAGGAGGAACAAACCTGCCTAGGAGTTCCATCGTGAAGCTGGGTTTAGACACAGTGAATGTGCCTTCAGGTGGAATGCCCAGCGGATAGGCAGACTTAAAAGATCTGGTGCTTGGAAAAGAAATCTGGGCTGTACATAATATCTATCTGAGAGTTAATAGTGTATATATTTTGATAGTATCAGAAGCTGGAGGAGGGCCTTGAGGAGGCGAGGTTGTCCAGGGAGAATATGGAGAGTGAAAAGGAAGAGAGAAAAGGGTGGAGCCTGTGGAACATCAGCATCCAGGGTGCATATGCTTTGGCAAAGGTCTGGAAAGCTCTGCTGAAAAGAGGAAATTCTAAGGATGGCTGAAAATACTTGGTTAGAGAGGGAGGAGGAAAACCAGGAAAAAGTAATATTGCCAAAACTAAGGAAAGTTTTAAGCAAGGAGGGAATGGCCAATAATGGCTATGAAGTAGAGCCTGAAACGTTGGACTTGGCTGTCATGTGGACATTAGTTGTCTTGTGGAATCATTTCCTGGGGATGAGGTAGGGCAGAAGATAAGAGTGCAGTGAGTCAGGAGCATATGAAGCGGGAGGAAGTGAAGCTAAGTAGACTACTCTTTCAAGAACTTTGGCTACACACAGAAAAAGATGGGGTGAGAGCTAAAGGTTAGAGGTGGTTGGGAAGTGTGGGGTGGGATTCAAGGCTGAGGAAGGGTGTTTGTTTGCTTTAAGACAAAAAAGACCTAAGCACATTTGCAGGCCAAGGGTGAAACATTCAAGAGGAAGAGCAGCTGTCAGTCAGCTCTTGGATCATCTTGGCTTTGCACTTTCCAGAATCGCCTTTGTATCAGACTTTGCTCTGCTTCCAGCAAAGCTCTTTCCTCTCCACAGACATACTTTCTCTAAGACCCCTGCTCCAAATTGTCCTAAATCCAAAAGATAGGATCTGTTAGAGTCTTTTATTGTAATTCAATCTCTAAATATGTAACCAGAAAATTATAAGAAAAACTTTTCCTAAAGGAACTTCAAAGACTACTGTTAAGGAGTTTACTTCAAATGCAAACAAACCTCTGGTTTCAGAAAATCTTGATTATGCTATGTCAGGCAGATCAGGAGAGATTTTTGTGTGATTCTGGAAGAAGCTGGAATAGTTTTGGTGTTTTGAGGAGGTAGCTACTTGAATCCTAGCAGTTGAAAGATCATTAATACATCCTTCTATACAGCTCTATCTTCTAGCCTGATGAGGAGGTAGAGGCTGCAGTGAGCCGAGATCGCGCCATTGCACTCCAGCCTGGGCAACAATGAGACTCTGTCTCAAAAAATTAAAATAAATAAATAAGGCCGGGCACAATGGCTCACGACTGTAATCCCAGCACTTTGGGAGGCTGAGGCAGGCAGATTATCTGAGGTTGGGAGTTTTGAGACCAGCCTGACCAACATGGAGAAACCCTGTCTCTACTAAAAATACAAAATTAGCCAGGCGTGGTGGTGCATGCCTGTAATCCCAGCTACTCAGGAGGCTGAGGCAGGAAAATCACTTGAACCCAGAAGGTGGAGGTTGAACCCAGAAGGCAGAGTTTGCAGTGAGCCAAGATGGTGCCATTGCACTCCAGCCTGGGCAACAAGAGCAAAACTCCATCTCAAAATAAGTAACTAACTAAATAAATAAAAATAAAAATATTAAATTATCCAGCATTAAACAGACCATTGGAATATAAAATGGACTGAGATGAGACCCATCACCCCTTCACTAGGCTTACAAACAGATGTTTTACCATCCCAGATATACAAACACCAGAGAGAACAGCAGAGCAGTTAGGTTTGCTCTCCATCCACAGTAAGCTTTGTTAGTGGATTGAGTCTTATGAGACCATCTTTCTGTTTAGGTTCGTTTGGGAAAACATGTGATTTTTAAATTATATGTAGTATAGTATCTACTACCTAGCTCTTGGTAACTGTGCTCATTTATAGGCATGGCAGACTAGAGTATAGATGAAGGAGGGAAGAGAATTTCCTGAGTCTGGTTTTAAAAGAAAATGTACCATGTTGTAATCTTAGGAGGCAGATTTACACATAGCCTTTTCCAGGAGTAAAGAAATGATTTTCTTATAAAGAAATCATTAAATGTGCAACAGGTTTTTTTTTCTTTTTATCTCCAGAGGTTAAACAAATTGGTAGCATGAAATAGTGTCTGCTTTAAATTTCTTTAAAGTTCTTTTGTAAATATTAATATCCACAGGGATGTAACTATTGAAAAGGTTACCCCAGGGACAGAGACATACAAGGGAGGAGAAATTTCTCAACAAAGGGCCTCAGAAAATAAACTTTCTGACCTGAAGGGAATTGTCCCCAGAAAGCCCGTGGGAACTGAAGTGACTGTTTACTTATGTTTATGATATTTAAGCAAGTGTTATACTGAGCAGTGGTTGTGTTGATGGTGGTTGTGTATGTATTCTCAGTTTGTGTGTAATATTACACTTGTTCTGGCTAAGATTACACACACAAACAGACCGCCTTTTAGTGAGAAGCCTTCCTGATGTTTTGAACTGGTTGAATCATCAAGACTACTCTCACCAGCTACGTAACCTCATTGGTTGAGAAGCTATCTCTGGAGGAAGTCTCAGTAGCTAAGTATATTCTGCGTTCAATAAGAGTTCTGTTCAGTTGCTTGGTTTTTTCACATTCAAAGTGCCTTACAACAAATAAGTTTATCCCCAAGTGCAGTATTGCTGGAACTCTTTCCTTCAGGAGGCATGATTTAAAGAAGAAAATTGAGATATTTTGTAAACTATCAAAGGGCAAGTAAAACATAACGGTAAATTAAAGCCTATTTTCGTTTTGCTTTGTAGGAATTTATCCGAGAACAAGTGGAGGTAAGCTTTTCCTTTATTTCGGGGTTTCACACAGAAGCATCACACATAAAAGGCTTTGTTGTTCCATTTCCTTTTCCTGTTAATAATGTGTTTATGCATTAGCTACTCCAGACCACAGGAGGCATCCAAGGGACATTGCCACTGACTGTCCAGAAGGTGTTGGCATCCCAAGCCTGCCATGGTAAGCCCTTCAACATAGCAGTGATCAAACGCCTCTGCATGCAGAGCCCTGGCAGGGCTGCCGGGATTACAAAAGAGGCAGAGGGCACATTTACTACTTAACTCTTGGAGAATACGATTTAGATCAAGAAACTGGAATGTACATTTTAAAAAATCACTTTTACAAAAACAAAATCCCAACACACAAATTTGACTGTAGTGCTGCCTGACCTATATGAATGGAGGAATAACTCCTAGAGGAGATGCATTTTGAGTTGAATTTTGAATGAGCTGGGGGACATGGGTTCATAGCATGGAAGGGGGAGCTCACTACAGGGAGAGTAAACAGCCTGTGCAGAGACGCAGAACAGAAACAAATTAGCTATGTGAGAAGCAGCAAAGAGTATCAAGAAACTAGGCAGGTAAGAGAACAGAAACCTAGAAGGTCACAGCAAAACCTTTGGATTTGATACAGAAGGCATTGGAATTAGCAAGGGTTCTTTTCTTTCCAACTTTTATTTTCGCTTTAGGGGGTACATGTGCACTTTGTAACATGGGTGAATTCCATGTCACAGGGGTTTGGTGTACAGATTATTTTGTTACCTAGGTAATGAGCATAGTACCCAATAGGTAGTTTTCCGATCCTCACCCACCTCCCACCCTCCACCCTCAAGTAGGCCCAGGTGTCTGTTATCCCTTCTTTGTTTCTATGTGTATTCAATGTTTAGTTCCCACTTGTAAGTAAGAACATGCAGTATTTGGTTTTCTAATTCACTTAGGATAGTGACATTGAACATTTTTCATATGCTTGTTGGCCATGTGTATGTCTTCTTTTGAGAAATGTGTGTTCATGTCCTTTGCCCATTTTTTTTTGAGACGGAGTCTCGCTCTGCCGCCCAGACTGGAGTGCAGTGGCCGGATCTCAGCTCACTGCAAGCTCCGCCTCCCGGGTTCACGCCATTCTCCTGCCTCAGCCTCCCGAGTAGCTGGGACTACAGGCGCCCGCCACCGCGCCCGGCTAGTTTTTTGTATTTTTTAGTAGAGACGGGGTTTCACCATGTTAGCCAGGATGGTCTCGATCTCCTGACCTCGTGATCCGCCCATCTCGGCCTCCCAAAGTGCTGGGATTACAGGCTTGAGCCACCACGCCCGGCCCCTTTGCCCATTTTTTAATAGGGTTTTAAAATTTTTGCTTGTTAATTTATTTAAGTTCCTTATAGATTCTGGATATTAGACCTCTGTTGGATGCAATTTGCAAATATTTTCTCCCATTCTGTAAGTTGTCCATTTATTCTGTTGATAGTTTCTTTTGCTGTGGAGAAGCTCTTTAAGTCTCACTGGTCAATTTTCGTTTTGTTGCAGTTGCTTCTAGAGTCTTTATCAGGAAATCTTTGCCAAGGCCTATGTCCAGAATGGTATTTCTGAGGTTTTCTTCTAGGGTTTTTGTAAAAAGATGGAATGCACCCATGTGCGGTGGCTCACGCCTGTAATCCCAGCACGTTGGGAGACTGAGGCGGATGGATCACCTGAGGTCAGGAGTTCGAGACCAGCCTGGCCAACATGGTGAAACCCCATCTCTACTAAAAACACAAAAATTAGCCGGGCATGGTGGCACATGCCTGTAATCCCAGCTACTCAGGAGGTTAAGGCAGGAGAATCACTTGAAACCAGGAGACGGAGGTTGCAGTGAGCCAAGATCGTGCCACTGCACTCCAGCCTGGGTGACAGAGTGAGACTCCATCTCAAAATAATAATAATAATAATAATAATAATAATAATAATAATAATAATAAAAAAGACGGAATATTTCGTGAATTTGCATGTCATCCTTGTGCAGGGACCATGCTAATCCTGTATTACTCGAATTTTATTATATGTGCTGCCAAAGCGAACACCATTGAGGGTTCTTGAGCAGGGTAATATGATACAATATAGAAAAGAGGGAGCTGGGTGAGACCCTGTGAGGAAGGTGCCTGCTTCTCCTTTGCCTTCTGCCATAATTATAAGTTTTCTGAGGCCTCCCCAGCCGCGCAGAACTGTGAGTCATTTAAATGGTCTTTCCTTTGTAAATGACCCAGTCTTGGGCATTTCTTCCTAGCAGGGTGAGAACAGATTCATACTCCTCCATCACCAAATGTCATCATTGCCACCTTCAAAATGTATCTTCAGTCCGTCTGATTCAGGCTGTCTGGCCCCCATCCTCATTTTTGCCACTGTTTAGTTCTCTCACTTAGTTCCTCACGTTCACTCTGGCTCCCTTTCAAGCCACTCTTCTCTCGGCACCCAGAGGAATCTTTTTGAAACATCCCTCTGAGCATGTTGTTATTCCAACTAAAATGTGTCAGTGACGACCCATTGCTCTTGGGATAGAAATGTGATTTTTTGGCCGGGCGCAGTGGCTCACGCCTGTAATCCCAGCACTTTGGGAGGCCGAGACAGGCGGATCACGAGGTCAGGAGATCGAGACCATCCTGGCTAACACGGTGAAACCCCGTCTCTACTAAAAAATACAAAAAACTAGCCGGGCGAGGTGGCGGGCACCTATAGTCCCAGCTACTCGGGAGGCTGAGGCAGGAGAATGGTGTGAACCTGGGAGGCGGAGCTTGCAGTGAGCCGAGATCCCGCCACTGCACTCCAGCCCGGGCGACAGAGCGAGACTCCGTCTCAAAAAAAAAAAAAAAAAAAAAAAAATGTGATTTTTTACTGTGGCCCACAAGGGTCTTCATGATTTGGCCCCTGCCTGCCTCTCCAGTGTCATGTCATATCACTCTCTTCCTTGTTCTTTACATCCTGGCCTGCTGTTTTGGTCTTCTACTTCCTGTGTGCTAAACATCTATCAGCTTCGGGGCCTCTGCACTGGCCTTTTCCTCTACCTGAAACACTTTTCCCTCCTCCTTCAATTAGCCATGTCTTTCTTAACCTAAAGTCTCAGCCTGAATACTACTTTGCCAGGAAAGCCTTCCTTAAACTCCTCAACTGGGTTTGGTCTTCCTATTATATATTCATATCCTGTATTTTATAGCACCTATATTTATCATCTAAATTATTGTGTAAGTATCTGCTTCATGTTTGTCTCCCCTATTAGACCATAAGCGCCATGAGGACGGAAATTATCTGTCTCATTAACTGCCTGACAAAGCTCCCAATACAAAGTGTATACTTAATAAATATTTGTTGACTGGGTAAATTATGCATAAAGGCAGGTTATAACAATATGAGAGTTTAGGAAGATTATTATGGAAATTAGAAAAAAAGCAGCAAATAAAATGAACATTGTAAGGAAACAATCAGAGATTGCTATTGGACGATCCATGGAAAAAGATAACCCCAACTTCACAAACCCATAAAGAGTAGGCAAAAATACTGCTCTTGCCTCTTGGAGAAAAACTCTGAAAGGAAGACCCTAACAAGTTAAGGAATGCCTCCTACAGAGATTAGAAAGACAAATACTCCGTAAGAAAAAGCTGAGAGACAGGTCAGTCCTGAAGCCTTAGTTTCATCCATGGTCATAAGCACCAATTTCTTTCTTTCTTTCTTTCTTTTTTATTATTATTATTTTTTTTGAGAACGGAGTCTCATTCTGTTGCCCAGGCTGGAGTGCAGTGGCATGATCTCGGCCCACTGCAACCCCCGCCTCCTGGATTCAAGCGATTCTTCTGCCTCAGCCTCCCAAGTAGCTGGGACTACAGGCGCGTGCCACCACGCCCGGCTAATTTCTGTATTTTTAGTAGAGGCGGGATTTCACCATATTGGCCAGTCTGGTCTTGAACTCCCGACCTCGTGATCTGCCTGCCTCAGGCTCCCAAAGTGCTGGGATTACAGGCATGAGACACCGTGCCCAGCCTATAAGCACCAATTTCAAGCAGGATTAAAGCCTCATTAAAGAAGCCTAAGAAACATGTTACTTTTTCCAGATATTTGGCAGTGACCCAAGGTCAGCATTGGTTTCCCACTATACACACTATAACCTTCTTGTTTCTCTCTTTCATTTAGGGGCCATTAAGTTTAATGATGGCCTGAGCTTACAGGAAAGTTGCCGCCTTATTGAAACTCTGTCCTCATGCCAGCTGCCATTCCAGTGTGCTCACGGGAGACCTTCTATGCTGCCATTAGCTGACATAGACCACTTGGAGCAGGAAAAACAGGTACGTTAATGACTAACAGGAGCAGGAGGGAGCAAAGTTTATCTTCTCTTTCTTTTCTGGCTTTTACTACGCAACTGTAATCTGTCTTAATCCTTTCCAAAATAGGAGAGTTTTGCAAAATCTGCATTGGAAGTTTCACATAAAGCCTCACCGATTTCATTTTCCAGCTCAAATCCAAAATGGAGCTTAGACTGAACTGTCAGGTCACCTACATAAGGGCTTTGTATTTTAAAACTTAACACATGTACAGACTTATGTATCCTGAATATCTATTGCCTGCTGGCCCTAGGTTTGATAATTTGCAGTTCTTCCTAAAGCTACTGAAAGTTGGTAGAAGCACAGCAAATTCACTGTTGGCAATATAGAGCCTCCGCATCCAGTTTCTTGATAGTACCTGCTGGAAATGGTGATCTGTGACTGTACCTGGCCATCCCCAAGGATCTTGAGTTATAGTTTGAGGATCATCAGACAGTGACCCAAGCTTCGGGATCTCTACATTATGCTTTGGCCCTAATTATCCAGCAACCTGCAAACTACAATGTGGATAATGCAATAAAGGCACAGAATGGCTTAAATTAAGAACCTCTGTCCTTGTTATAATCTTCAATGAAGGAGAACATGGAGAACATAACAGGAATGTCTCTGTTGCTGCTTTCCAAAATCTTTTTTTTTCTCTTTTTTGTTTTTTGAGACGGAGTTTTGCTCTTGTTGCCCAGGCTGGAGTGCAGTGGTGCAATCTCGGCTCACCGCAACCTCCGCCTCCCGGGTTCAAGCAATTCTCCTGCCTCAGCCTCTGGAATAGCTGGGATTACAGGCATGCGCCACCACGCCCGGCTAATTTTGCATTTTTAGTAGAGACGGGGTTTCTCCATGTTGGTCAGGCTGGTCTCGAACTCCCGACCTCAGGTGATCTGTCCACCTTGGCCTCCCAAAGTGCTGGACTATAGGCATGAGCCACCACACCCTGCCCCAGATCTTTTCTCTTGCTAACCTTTCCCTGCTAAGGGATATAAAATCTTTTCTTGCATGGAGTTTTCAGGTACTAATGTTTTCTGACTCAACTAGCTGATTTTACTTCATTAAAACCTCTTTGTTTCACAAAGAAAAATACGAAGAAAGTTTTTTTCCATTGCTGAAGAGCTTGGAATCTGGACTTAAAGTTATCAGTCCCCTTTGATCCTTAAAAACATCTATAATCTCCATTGAATCCACAAGTTAGAAATCTAAACAGATTATAACAACCAGACTTTGGAAATATTTGTATGCTACCTACATTTTCTTTTTCTTTTTTTTTCTTTTATTTATTTTTATTTTTTTGAGACGGAGTCTCCCTCTGTTGCCCAGGCTGGAGTGCAGTGGTGCAATCTCAGCTCACCACAACCTCCATCTCCCAGGTTCAAGCAATTCTCCTGCCTCAGCCTCCTGAGTAGCTGGGATTACAGGCGTGCACCACCACGCCCGGCTAATTTTTTTTGTATTTTTAGTAGAGACAGGATTTCACCATATTGGCCAGGCTGGTCTCAAACTCCTGACCTTGTGATCCGCCTGCCTCAGCCTCCCAGAGTGCTGGGATTACAGACGTGCACCACCACGCCCAGCTAATTTTTTTTGTATTTTTAGTAGAGACAGGGTTTCACTATGTTGGCCAGGCTGGTCTCAAACTCCTGACCTTGTGATCCGCCTGCCTAGGCCTCCCAGAGTGCTGGGATTACAGGCATGAGCCACTGTGCCCGGCCTATATGCTACCTACATTTTCATGTTGCTAATTGAAGTTATTCTTTCTTCCCACAGATTAAACCCAATCTCGCTAAACTTCGCAAAATGGCCCAGGCCTGGCGTCTCTTTGGAAAAGCAGAGTGTGATACAACGCAGAGCCTGCAGCAATCCATGCCTCCCTGTGAGCCACCATGAGAACAGAATCACTGGTCTAAAGGAACAAAGGGATTTTCACTGTATGCCTCTGAGCAGAGAGCAGCAGCAGCAGGTACCAGCACGGCCCTGACTGAATCAGCCCAGTGTCCCTGAGCAGCTTAGACAACAGGGCTCTTTGTATCAGTCTTTCTTGAGCAGATGATTCCTCTAGTTGAGTAGCCAGATGGAATTCAAGCCTAAAGACAGTTCATTCATTTGCATCCATGGACACAGAAGGTTGCCATATAGTATCTACCTTTTGCTACTTATTTAATGATAAAATTTAATGATCGTTTGATTGGTTGCTTGGTTTGTTATTTGAAGGGTGTGATTTTTGTTTCTGTACAGTTTTGTTTTCAAGCTTCACATTTGCGTGTATCTAATTCAGCTGATGCTCAAGTCCAAGGGGTAGTCTGCCTTCCCAGGCTGCCCCCAGGGTTTCTCCACTGGTCCTTCCTTTTCCCTTCAGTCTTCTTCACTTCCCTGTGCTGCTGCTTCATGTGCTGCATCTCAGACTTAAAGAGTTTCTCTACTTTCAGTGAAAACACTCTCTAGGGTCTTTCATCAGGCCTTTAGTTATTTTAGGGGTAAAAACTATGGATAAAAAGGACAAGGATAGAACAGAGAAAATTTAAAGTCCTGTTCCAGGTTTTTTGTTTTGTTTTCTTTAAAAACTCAGAGACTGAGGCCGGGCGCGGTGGCTCAAGCCTGTAATCCCAGCACTTTGGGAGGCCGAGATGGGCGGATCACGAGGTCAGGAGATCGAGACCATCCTGGCTAACACGGTGAAACCCTGTCTCTACTAAAAAATACAAAAAACTAGCCAGGCGAGGTGGCGGGCGCCTGTAGTCCCAGCTACTTGGGAGGCTGAGGCAGGAGAATGGCGTGAACCCAGGAGGCGGAGCTTGCAGTGAGCCGAGATCGCGCCACTGCACTCCAGCCTGGGAGACAGAGCGACACTCCGTCTCAAAAAAAAAAAAAAACAAAACTCAGAGACTGATGTTCAATATCCCAAACCAGTAAAATGGAGAAAATACTATGAGCTTGTTTTTTAAAATATGATTTTTTTTTTGGTACTTCATAAAGTATCTCTTTATGTGACAGCAATTGTCATATCAAAACACAGCATATCTATGTTCAACCTAACCAAATATGTTTACACTTTCTCTTTCAGGAGACAAGGGTTCTTTGTGTCCCTTTCAAACAGTATCTTGGTGTTATTACATTATGCCTATCTATTGCCCTTATAATTTCACTTGGGACCAGGACTGATCATTCTGCAAATGCTTGTTATGCCATTCTCAATCTATTTTTCCCACACCTTTTCACATGATTTGTGGTTAATAGGACTCAATAGACTAAAATTGCATAGTAGAAAAAAAAATACAAAAAGCCAGCTGGTAATGTTTATTGCAACAGGGGTGCTATACAATTAGTAAGAGGATGCAATGAGAATTTCTACTTTTGTATTTCCTGACCAGCCTGCTCAAAGTGGCTTTTATATCAATGGATTTATTTTCATCATTTTTTAATACAGGAAACCAATTCGTGCTCATGGAAGAAAAGTTCCTTTGCCAGCAGCCTTGAAGTGAATCTTACAGGAGCAATGAAAGTATTGCATTCATTAGCATCTGCCCCAGAGAAGGTTCAGGGAAAACCTTCACTTGTTTTCAAGGGGATCCTTGTAGACTTACGTAATTGGAACCCTGAAGAACAGGCCCTACTGTCTAAAAATGGCTTTTATTCTTCTAAATACATATAAACGGGTGTTTTATAGATGGGAAAACATGACCTTAGAAAGGAGGGAGTTTTCAGAGGATTTGCAGGCTGTCAGGGGCTCTGCCTCCAGGCCCAGTGTGGCAGTGTGGCCTCAGGGCCTCCGCCTCCCTGCTTAAGGGCTGCACAGAGGCCAACTGTCCTGGGAGTTGTAAAAATCTTTTCGGGTCAGACCAATTTGAGAGATTTTAAAAAGTGTCTCAATGCCTCTTATGATTTCAGAAGGTTTTGCTATATGTAATCCCAACTACAATTTTCTTGAGAGTAGCAGAGGATTACAAAAAGTCCTCCATAAATTATGTAATTGGCCTTCCTGGCTAGCCTGACTCAAGCAATGTCAGAAATAATTATTCTATTTTCATAATTTATAAGTGTGGGAGCAGGCCTCAGCATTCAAACAACCTGTTAGAGAAAAACATCTAATAGATTACCTTTATCGCCTATTAAGGTTTTATGTTGTTTTTAACTCAGATGCCATAAGAACAAAGATACATGTAATTTATAATAGTAATCATTAATACCTATATTGTGCTTTAAGGTTTACAAAATATTTTTTCTCACACTTTATCTTATTTTAATTTCTTGACAGTCCGTGAGGTAAGGTGGTAGCTTCATCACCATTTTACAAAGTGGGAAACGAAGGTGGAGAACCGTCCTCTTAGGAACCTGGTTGTCCCCCTTTGTATAATAAAACTTCGAAGCTCGGAGCTGTTAACTGGTTTGCTGAAGGCTTAGCTGTGAGAGCCAGAATTCAGACCCAGGTCTGAGTGACTTCAAACTGCACACTCCTTCCCATTATTACCCATATGCTGTCCCTTATATTTTTAATTTATTAGGAATTCATTCATTTATAAACTTGGTGATTCACCTTCATTCGATTCTGGTCACTGAAGGCTTTAGTAACTTCAGAGTAAAACTTGAGAGATGAGATGTGAAATGTAGCCATTCTTGAGAGTTCCTTTTTCTGTAACATTCATCAACACTTCATTGAGAAGTGAAGGTTCCTATGGCTGTCTCTGCCTTCAAGAGGCTTAGCTTTAGTCACTGAGAAAGACAAGGAAACTAACGATAGAATATAGTAGCTTCCTCTGGCGTTAGGTATTACAGAGTCACAGCTAGTGACAGCTAGCCTTTTATTATTGAAAGAAGAGGAGCTAACAGTCCCACTATCAGAATTAATACTAGAGATGGCAATGGGAGCTAGTATCGGAAAAGCTTAAGGCAAAACATAAAGTGTAGGCTAGAATGAAGCTGGAGAATGGGGAGGGGGCTTGGGTAACATCCAGAATCTGGCTGGGGACCTGGAACTACATGAGATGTAAGAATGGAGGGGTTCTAGCAGTAGTCAGAGGTCAGGTACAAATGAACAGCTGGGATCTGGGCACGGCAGACAGTGAAAAAACCCAGGCAAGCAAAACGGTCAGAGCAGGAGGGGGCCCAAGGCCACATTCTTGAGATGTGGAGGGGCTGAGGAGCCATGCCAAGTGAGAACAGATGCAGCTCAGCAGTTCCTAGCAAGCCCTGACAAGCCAGCTCAGCTGAAGCTTCGGGTGGGAGCCAGTCATGGCACAGTGGAGTGAAGGAAGAGCAGTTTCAGGCACCCAGAACCTGACCCCCACTACTTGTTTTCCACCTGAAGAGCCACCCATTCCATCCAAACCCTTTGCAAAAGTCTGCTAACAGAGAGAACCGGCCAGTATGCTGGCCACTCACGATCATGCCCGTCTGTCTTTACCCTCTAAGCTGAAGCTGCGCGTCAACGGTGAAATGGCAAAAAGGTGGGTCCAGAAGAGGGGAAAAGAAGGAAGTCTGGGAAAACAAAATGCTGAAGAATCTGGACCAAATAAACCCTTCCTTCCTTCTTCCTTCTATCTCTCTCTTCATCATTCAGCAAATCTTCAGTGAGTTCCCTTCTGAATGTATTGTATCAGAACTTGTGCAGGATATAAAGGGAAAAAAACAGGTTATCACATGGTTTAGGATGTTTCCAACCCTTGGATCATTTTCACCGCAGGCCCATTAGTTACAGAGCACTCAGTCTTACCCAGAAGCATCGGATCTAGTCCAGGCAACCGGATCCAAGTGTGTGGGAATCGCAGTGTGCTGCATGTGGGAATCTATCAGGCCAGCATGACTTGAGCAGCAGCCCGCAGAAGTGGGATTTGGCCAGTCTTGCCTGACTCTGGCCTTACAACTTGCTCTTATCTACTTCCAAAGTAAGGAGTGCCCCATGATGGGCCAAGCAGTCCAAAAAAAAGTGGCTTGGAGTTAGCTACCGCAGTTAGCAGTTTCTCATTATTCAACATTGCATTACCCCTTTTTCACATTAGTTAACTGCAGAATTTTATTTTCATGTATTTGTTATCTTTCCAACCCCAGTGTTGTAGGAAGAATATTACATATAAATGATGACTTAGGAATCTTGTCAAATTTTTGTTTCTTCAGCACTAAGTAGCTTATTTTCTAGGCAGGTCTTAATTCTAAATGTAACATGCTTGAAAAAAACACTATTGAAAGGATCCATCTCTTCAGCATAGAATTTAATATACATATCAGGCAATCACCATCTCAAGCATGATTAGACTCAAGCGCTGCCCTCCATCGTGTGAGGGATGCCAGGAAACTGGAAGCTTAGACTTTAGCTCTTTATTATTAAGTTGGTGCAAAAGTAATTGCAGTTTTTACCGTTAATAATAATAGTTGCCTAGCCATTGTGCAGTACCTTGCAAGAGCTCTTTGGCAAATGAAAGAATAATTCAAAGCAAAGTAGGCCAGATATAAAACACTTCCAAATCACATTTCAAAATTGTCCTTTCGTGTCAACTAGGTGCATGTCTGCTAAGGGAGTTTTTGCAAGGACAGGTGGATAGTATGAGGCCTTTACAATAATCACATTACCATCTGGTGCTATCTATATGGCAGAGCCGTTCTGATGTAGTTGTATTATCACAGATCATTACAGAGTATGCCAGTCATTCCATGATGGGACTGTGACTGGCAGCCTTTCTTAGCCCAAAGACTGATGCAACAGATTGCTTTGAGAAATAGTTTTGAAGCACATCCATGAAACATATGATCCTATGGGTACCAGCATTGATTTCTTTGAGGTATCGTTTTACACTTCAGTTTTTCCTGGTAGAGTATTTTTCTGAGACGTCTCTTCTGAGGCTAAATTAGGAATTTCTGTTCCTTCTTCAAGTTCCAAGAATTGTGCCTCTCCTGCCCTCTGCCCAGACTGGAAGATAGAAACCGTGGGAAAAAAAGTGTCTTTACAAACTGCAGTTATCTAACTTGGTTTATTTAACATATTCAGGAAGACTTTCACATCCATGGAATCCTCGTTCTATTAATTCTCTCCAAGCTACAACAGTTGTTTTTTTGTTTGGTTTTTTTTTTCGAGTTTCTCGGTTCTGCCAGCAAGGCAGGGGTGGGAGGTGGGCACCCCTGATACCAATGCTGACAGGTAGTGAGTTGACGTGGAACTTCTGTTTCCTCCTGTTCAGTTCAGGTTCTCTCTTTCTGATACTTACCCCTCCTCAAATAGGGAAACAAAGAGAGGGGAAATAGGAAGATGAGCCTTAATAGGGTTTACTTAATTGGGGGCATAAAGGTTCTAAAAAGTATGCATTCCTGCAGTTCTGTTCTTAGCACTGTAAAAGCTGATCAGAAAGAGAGCTTCTACCCTTATAACCTTCATCCATCTCAGTCATGCCTGGGAAGGATGTTGGTGCTAATTTTAGACACAGAGACTAAGATAGACAAAGGACAAGTATCATAAAGCATTTTTGGAGCCAGGAACAGATTTAAGTTCCTTGCCTCACTGCTGCTCTTACTCCAAACCACACAATTGTACCCAAGTGAATTGCTGTTAGAATTGGTGCCTTTGGAGGAGACAATTGCTTATAATTGGTAGCTACAAGCCACTTCACTGAGAAAGCATGGGGTCTTAGATGCTTTAAGAAATAATAGAAAGACTGAGCCTGAGTGAGTCAGGCTCTTCTGAGTCATACAGTTTTTAGGTCAGTGTAAAATACTGACTTTCTGAGGTCTTACTTTTTTCCCTCTGGAAGACCTAAAGCAAAGATCTCTCTCAAAGAGGTATTAAAGAATAGAGGCCTTTCCCTCAGAACCTACTTCTGCCCAGTGTTCACCAAAACGTGGTTTCAAATCACCTGTTCAAAGCCCACAGGGTGCTTATTTGTTAAACATGCAGATTCTTAGTGCTCCCTCCACCCACACAGACACTGCACAAGAGGCCCTGCTTTGGACCACTAGTTCCTAAACATGGCAAAAAATCTGGATCACCTGGGAGACTTTTTAGGTTAAAAACCGGAAACAGTATGTAAGCATAAACATGTCAACAAAATGAGAGGATGTCCCTCTGCTTGCCGTGCTTGGTATTTTACTTCTATACTGTTTCCCTATACGTGTACATATAATTTTGTTTTGTTTTTGTCAGACAGAGTCTCACCCACTCTTGCCCAGGCTAAAGTGCAGTGGCCCAATGGCACTGCTCACTGCAGCCTCCACTTCCCCAGTTCAGACTCCCGAGTAGCTGGGACTACAGGTACCCGCAACCACACCTGGCTAACTTTTGTATTTTTAGTGGAGACTAAAAATTTTATTATAGTATTTTAGTTTCACGATTTTGACCACGCTGGTCTCAAACTCCTGACCTCAAGTGATCTGCCCTCCTTGGCCTCCCAAAGTGCTCAGATTATAGGCATGAGCCAGTGCGCCCGGCCAGTGTCGTTTTGTTTTCATGAAATGAGTCCATATTATGCACATTGCTCTGCAGCTTTTGTTTTTCCCAGCTTGTTTTTTAACAGAGTATCAAATGGACTTCCTTGCAAATCTGTCCTATTAACATGAGGATCACAACTCAGATGCCTACAGGGGTTAGGCAGACAACATAAATGAGTTAAATGGATCCAGTAGGAACTGCAGAAAACTGGAGATGTTTCCTCTTACTGCGTCAGACATTACCCAACCGCAAACTAACTACTGCCATTTGGAAATGTTGGCCCAGAGCTGCCAAATTTGAGTTTTCAAGAAGAGCAAGATATCTGAATTTTTGAAATGTGCAATCTCCAGATTTTTAAATATTGGTAACAAATTCACATTAAATGCAGTGAACCAGCCCAAATGTCTTCAATCCAGACACTGCCCCTCCAGCCATCCTTCTGAAATTTCTATTGCCATGTATAATGTTCCACAGTGTAACTGTCAATACTTACTCAACATTTCTCCTATTGCTGGACACTTAGGCTCTGACATTACAACTACTACACTCTGTATAAATCTTTGTGCTTATACAAATATGGAAATACAGCTTCCAAATTGCCCTCTAAAAGGTTGTACCAATTTATAGTCTTATAAACACTGCATGAGACTATCCTTTTCTGGGAAGCTTTAAACAGATTCCCAGGTGGTAACCCAGAGATCAGATGCAGTAGGTCTAAGATGAAACCCAAGACTGTGTGAGTGACCGGAATGACTCAGGTGATTCTGATGATCAGAGAGGTTTTGGAACTACCGTTTTAGCCTATTAACAAGCTGTTTGGGGCCATGAGCAGTGAATTGTAGAAGAAACTGTACTTTCATTTGTACTTCTGTTTTTTAATTTTATTTAGAGACAGGGTCTTGCTCTATCATCCCGGGAGTGCAGTGGTACAATCATAGCTCACTGAAGCTTGAACTCATGGGCTCAAGTGATCCTCCCACCTCAGCCTCCAGAATAGCAAGGCCACAGGTATGTGCCACCATGTCTGGCTAATTTAAAAAAAAAAAATTTTGTAGAGACAGGATCTTGCTATGTTGCCAGGCTAATCTCAAACTCCAGGCCTCAAACAATCCTCCCACCTCAGCTTCCCAAAGTGCCAGGATTACAAATGGGAGCCACTGCATCTGGCCACTACTACCATGTTGTACACTTTTCCTGCTAACTACAGCCCTCTATGCAAACACAAAAAAGGCTCTGCTGCTGCTGTTTCAAGCAGTTCTGTCAGAGTAGGACAACAAATAAACCAACTATGGAACCTTCAAGTGGCTTTTATTGGCAGAGCCTAGAAGAAGTGTTGTAGCCATTCCAGAGCAAAAATCTGTATCCCAGCAAGGTATTCAGTGTTATGTTTAACACACTACTGAACCAGAAAGTTTAAGTTCCTGACACAGACGCAACCAGGTCACTAAAAGGCTCCTAAATCAACAGGTTAAGCCCCGCTGCTGTGTTAAGATCTGAAAGGTAAGACACAGTCCTGGATGTGTGCCCTTGATACAGGGTGACTAAAAAGGCAGGCAACAGTATCAAGGATTTTTTTTAGGTGTACTCCTGTACACTCCCACATTGCAAGGATGTGTTTCAGCAGCAGCACTCAAGTCTCCTCTTCATTCTGTATCTGCCTAACAATCTCTGCTTAGGACAAGTATGGTCGTCATAAAACATGATCATCAGGATGGTAGAGTTCACTCATCAGGCGGTAGATGTAGGAAGGTGCATTCCCACCAATGTTGGAGATAAAGAGGGTAATGAGCTCTGGTGGGACGTAGTCAAACACAGGGCAATGCACGCTGACCTTCTCCAGAATGTCCCCTGAAAGGCAAGCACACGTGCTAAAGGTAAAACTGAGCCTCCCTCTCTCATAATTAAGTAGCATATAGATTCCAGCCTCGAGAATGCAGGCATATTAGCTCCCCACGGATGGGAAGCTATGAAAAAATGCAAACCAGAAGAGATGACTTCAGATCATGACAACCCCTGCTTACAACTCTTCCGTGCCTCTGCACAGCCCTTAGAATAAAATTCAAACTCAGGACTGAAATTTAAGATCTGGGCCCTCCCTGCCACACCACATGAATTACAATTTGGACCACTCTTCCCCTTGCTCATTACTGTCTAGCCATGTATGCCATCCTTTTCTAACTGGCTAAGCCCCCTGCACCAGCTCATGGAAAACTCTATGATCTTCATATGGTGGACTGTATTCATTCAGGACTCAGATGAAATGTCATCTCATTAAGACCCTTCCTCAATCTCAGTTAGGCCCCTAGCCACTTTCTATCACATCAGCCTTGCTTGTCCTCAGGCATCCCATGACCTGATACTTTCTCATCTGTCTTCCACAATAGAATGTGTGGGAACAAGGCCTTATCTTTTTCATTCATTGTTATATCTTCAGTGCCTAGAAGAGTGCTGGATACACTGTAGGTGCTCAGTAACTATTTCCTGAAGAATGAATGTTTATTTAAATAAAGGGATGAAGTCATTCAACTTCCAAGAGGAACTAGAACCCCAACTACTATGCGTTGCTCTCAGAGGGTGTATAAGGCCACCCTTGCTGATGAGGCTGCAGGCATAATGAGCTGAGCTGCTGCCTTCAGAAGAAGCCAGAGAAAAGAACCCTAACACATGAGATTATCCAGGCTACAGGCAAGTTTTCTAAGTAGGAACATTTCACAGCCTGCTTCCTTTGGGAGTCAATTTACCAAAATGACTCCTTATATAGCAGGAAAACAGGTACATTTTCCCAACTGGTTGTTGATATCTCAAAGAGCATGCAAAGCCAAACCCAGACAATGCTAGATGATCCAACCCACAGTAGCCCCAACAAATCTAAAATACATTCGTCTCAGAACAAATTAACATGGACTTGATCAGGTCCTCAAGCACTTTGAGCTGCTAAAGAAAACAGTCCCCCCAAGAAGTATGATAAAAAACACAACCTGACAGCATTCAGTTCTACTGACCAACAAAACGACAAAAAGACCAAAACACATGCACGCACAAACCCCAAATACACACAACACATGCACGCATGCGCACATGCACACACAGCTTTTGTACCTTCTGTGAATGGCAGGACTTCTTCAGGAGCCACAAACTTATGAAATGAGTCTTCTTCATTGGGGAACTAGAAAGGAAAAAATTTTTAAAAACTAGAGACCCAGCAATTCCACTCCTAGATATGTACCCTAGAGAAATGAAAACATATGTTCACACAGAAAATTTATACACAGATGCTTATAGCATGATTATTCACAAAAGCCAAAAGGTGGAACCAACCCAAATGCCCATAAACAGATGAATGGATTAAATTGTGGTATGTTCATATAATGGAATATTATTCAGCCTCGAAAGGAAATTCTGACATTACAACATGGATGAACTTTGAAAACATCGTGCTAAGTGAAAAAAGTCAGGCACAACATGTCACGTATTATATGATTCCTTTTATACAAAATGGACAAATCCATAGAGACAGGAGCAGATTAGAGGAGATGGGGAGAAGGAGAAATAGGGAGAGATTACTTAATGGGTACAGGGAGTTTTTCTAGAGTGGAGAAAAAGTTTTGAAACTAGAGAGTGGTGGTTGTACAATGCTGTGAATGTACTAGATACCACTAAATTGTATACTTTAAAATGGTTAATTGTATGTTATGTGAATTTCACCTCAATTTAAAAAATAGAGACTATAAATAGTTTGATGTTTTCAAAGCAAATAGCTTCTATCACTGATGAAATGTCTCTTCACTTAGTCCCTGCTTGTATTCAGGTTACAAAGGACAGGCCCTGCAACAATAACAAAACTGATTCTATGATCCTAGTGTCAACCTGCTTGGCATTTTCAGAAATGGTCAGGTGACGGGGAGTGGTGACAATCGTAAGGAAAGGACCTTTCCCAACTACATATTGTCCTCACAATCTTGCCTTCCTAAAGCTGGCAGCTTAGAACTCTCAACTATTTTACTGAATCAAGACTTCTGTGGTTCTTTCCAGCCTCCACTGGATGTAATCCATTGAGTAAATGCAGATAAATGGAGGCCCTGGAGTGAGTTGGTTGAAGTCCCAGAGTTCAAGCCTACCCTTTGGCTTCCTTCTTTCTGCTGGCTTCTAGCTAGAGACAGACACACATACCTGTGGGGAAAGTTTGAACATAGGTGCACAGACGATGAGTGGGGTGGAATGGTGTTTTGCTGCCAGTGCCAGAGTGTGAGTTCCTGTCACAGCTCTCAGGGCACCATTGGCCAGGATGGTCTTCGTGCCAATGATTACCTTTGAGACAAGAAGAAAAATGTGAGTCATCCTGGGGGTGGAGCCTTAAAAGGGCCACTGGCCACAAAAAGCTGAATGCTCAGGCCTCAGAATGGTATCGTGAGGGGTCACAGACTGGTAGAGGGGAAGGGATCCCTGGCTTAGTACAAGTTCTAGCTTAAAAGTAGGTTGCCAAGGAAAGAATGAATGTAAAATGGGACAAGAAACTGCAAAACCTACTGCTCTCAGTCCCATATTTTCTGGAAATTGAGATGCCATACCTTCTGAGAAGCCAGGAACCTTTTTCATTCACTATCCGCAACTGCCAAGCTCTTTGAGCATAAGGCAGGAGCCCTGTAGCCAATCCCTAGCAACTGACACTCTTGCTTTAGTTCTATTTAATACTTCATTCTTTTCAATGCTTCAACCAAATTTAGAGGCTACTCCAAGAGAGGAACAATGATGCAGAAAAAGGGAAAAGAAATTCAGTATGTACTTTGAAAGGTGCTAGAAACTTCTCTCACCATGGATATTACAGGAGATAAAAATCAGTTTTAGAAACATAACCTTCATGAATTCAACATAAGTCCAAATATGCCCACCTTGTTGACTCTTGACATAACAGCAAAAATGGCAGCATCAGTCATGACAGTTGTCTCAATACCTGCTTTGGACAAATTCACAGCCATTTCATGACCCTGCAATGGGAGGGAAAGGCTGATTCTAAGAGAAAGAGTGAGAAATAGTGAAGAGTGCTCTCAAATGTAACTGGATCTGGGGAATTGTGTGATATGGGCATATCCAGCACATAATTTCCAATAGATAACTCATTTTTCGGACAACTAAGTTTTTGGACTATCATAGCTCTGGTAAGCTGTAGGGAAGTCCAGGGGAAGCTAATAAATGTCTAGTGCTCCAGCCACAAAACTGGAAATACAACGTGCGTGTATAACATAATCACGATTGCTGACAAGATAGCTCCTGGCTCATTATTTTAAAACATCCTGCATCCTTACATATTTCCTTTTTGAGACCTATTATTTACTTAGGATCGAGTGAGGTCAGACCAAGCATCAGTCATCCCCAAGGTAATTTATCCTGCTTTGATTCCTAAAAGAACCAACCTATGTTTCCTTGGACCCAGCAGTTCACCACCTTTTTTTTTTTTTTTTTTTTTGAGACACAGTCTTGCTCTGTGGTACACGCTGGAGTGCAGTGGCGCTATCTTGGCTCATTGCAACCTCTGCTTTCCAGGTTCAAGCAATTCTCCTGCCTCAACCTCCAGAGTAGCTGGGATTACAGGCATGCACCAGCATGCCCAGCTAATTTTTGTATTTTTAGTAGAGATGGGGTTTCGTCGTGTTGGCCAGGCTGCTCTCGAACTCCTGACCTCAGGTGATCCGCCCGCCTCAGTCTCCCAAAGTGCTGGGATTACGGGCGTGAACCACCACTCCCAGTCCCAACTTTCTTAAACCACTATTTAAGAATGTTCACAGGGCGAACACCTTGAAAATTCCCTTAATGTTTTAGTTTATCTTCTCAGTGTCTCAAAGTCTTGCTTATCAATTCGAGGTTGGAATGGCCCTGCCCATCCCTTGTTTATTTCTTCTTCATTTTCCGTTTTTCTTAGTAGCAGCTACAGCAGTCTCCTTACCTGGCAGAAAGGAGCGCACTCTGCTACAATGACATGGAATTTCCTCTTTCGGGCAGCCTCTTGGAGGAAGGCCTCTACTGTTCGGGAGAAGCCAATGGTCATGATCACCTCATTGGAGTGAATGTGCTCCAGAGCCTGGGCTGCAATGTTCTCCGTTGTCCCTTCTGTAAGAACAGTTTGGAAAAATATATATATATATATATATGTCTATATATATATATGAAATTGCTATGCTATATCACAAACACACATTATGAGTGTACGGAAAAAGATGTCTGCCCTTCAGATGCACTGCCAACCCAGCAGGCCCTGGTACCACAGGGTTAATGTGCTTAAAGTGAAATGTCACAATTTTTTTTTTTTTTTGAGACGGAGTCTCGCTCTGCCGCCCAGGCTGGAGTGCAGTGGCCGGATCTCAGCTCACTGCAAGCTCCGCCTCCCGGGTTCACGCCATTCTCCTGCCTCAGCCTCCCGAGTAGCTGGGACTACAGGCGCCCACCACCTCGCCCAGCTAGTTTTTTGTATTTTTTAGTAGAGATGGGGTTTCACCGTGTTAGCCAGGATGGTCTCGATCTCCTGACCTCGTGATCCGCCAGTCTCGGCCTCCCAAAGTGCTGGGATTACAGGCTTGAGCCACCGCGCCCGGCCAATTTTTTTTTTTTTTTTTTTTTTTTTAATAGAGATAGGGTCCCACTATGTTGCCCAGGCTGGTTTTGAACTCCTGGTCGCAAGCAATCCACTCACCTTGGCCTCCCAAAGTTGTGGGATTACAGGTGTGAGCCACCACGCCCAGCTATGTCACAATTTCTTAAAAGCCCCACTCTGGGATTTTCTGCCTGCCCTCTTCCAGAAGTACCCCTATCTATCAACCACTTCTGTCACTACAGAGCTCCTTACAACCGATTTTGAAGACAGTGAATTCAGCCAAGGAATGGCAATCTGGGAAATCCTAAAGTGCTGAGAATCGGGTAAACAGAGCTTCTGCCTAAAAGAACTCTTCCTTCAAAAGGTGGCCACAACACTTCTACGTGAGAGAGAATGGCCAGAGAAGAAAAACGGGGGAGGAATTTGGAAGCAGCTTCTTCATCATCTGATTATAATGAATATCTGCAAGTCACCTGGACCGCAATGACAAGGGGGATAGAAATGGTATACGTGTACGTGTGTATAAAAATTCAGAGATAGTGAAGGAGGTCTTTCGACCTGGTTCTCTAGGGAGTTCATCTTCTTTACAATGAAAATAAAACTCTGTCCTAATAAAGTCTGTGCCACTCCACAGACTTGCAGTCTATCAAGGGTTGGTCTGTAAGGAAAAGTAGAGAGGGTTACTTTGGTCCCATCACCTGTTGCAACATTTCCTAATCAGGAAGGAGGACAAACCTCTGAGAACCAGAAGACTGGTAATATCCCATCTCTGCTAATGAACAACCTTCAGGGGCTTCTGTTCCCTTATTTGCCTGTGACCAGTCCCATTTTCCCAGCGATCAGGCCTCTTACCCAGCTCCACTAGCAGCTCATTAATCGCCTCAATGATGTTGGAGTGGAGTTGGGCATAATGGAAGCTGAAATCCTCGTTCAGGCCTCCGGACGTCAACAGTTTGTGCAGGGACTCCTGCTGATCACTCTCGTCGCTGCGTCCATGGAGTCTATGGAGGCAACAAGACCCAAAGAGAGAGGTGGGGAGGAGGAGTGGTCAGGCAGGTAACAAGGGCTGCTCAGCTCCAATAAAGTCTCCGAGCAGGGAGAGGGCCCCGTGGAAAAAGTGTCACTGGATCCAACCCGGAGCCCAGGACGTGAGCCTGACCTGCCATACTCCTCCCGGATAATCTTGAGCACTCTCCGCACCATGTTGCCCACGGTGGTCTCGGAGGGCTGAGCGGCCGTCATCCTCCTGCCCTCTCTGCGGATCAGCTCCATCAGCTCCCCTACAGTCCAAAAGAGAGAGGATAAGAGGAGCCAACGCGAAGTGAGGCCTGGGAAACTTTCAGCCTTGGGATCGGGAACAGACAGGGGCCGGGTTCGCTGACGGAGGCAGGCCGGCCTCACCCGCGTTGCTCCAGCGGTGGTCCGTGATGATCTGGCGTAGCAGCCCCAGGGTCTCCCGAGCCATTTCCTCGGAGCTGCGCGGCCCACCACCCCGCTTCAGGGTCTCCACGAAGCTCTCGATCCTCTCTGACAACTCCGAGCCCTTCGCTGCTGATCCCGGCATCTCTAAGGTAGCTGCCTTCAGCCTTCACCGGCGGAATCCACACCTGCCAGACCACACAGTTTGCACTTCCGGGGCGGGCAAGGTCGGCTTCCGCCGTGAGGGGAGGGGGGAAACCACAAGTTTGAGGGGAAGCAGGCCACGCCCCTCGTTGCCACTCTCCCGCCCCCTTCCTCTGCCTGAGCCAATCACAGACGTGGGGCTCGGGTTGTTCAGTTACAACCGGGCCCGCGCGCCTCGGGGGCTGCAGGCTAGGAAGCGGCCTTTCTTGGCTCAGCCGACGGTGAACGGAAGTAACCCGTCCGGCCTGTAGAGGGTGGCTGGTCCCGTTGCTATGGGAGCAGCAAGTCTCTACGAGCCCCTCACCGCGACTTAAGGCTACACTGAAGAAGTTGCGGCACTCCCTCCTGTCTTCCCAGCTCGGTGACCGCCCGAGCTGTCACTCCTGAGTGTCAGCTGACACTGACGTTACGAATGCGTGTCCAGGGTCGGCTGCCCCTTGGGCAGATGTCTCACTTTTGTTCTGTTACATTACTTGGTACCGTTTGCGCCTGTATCTAGTAGGTTCATCTCTCTGAAAACAAGGATCATATCTTTTGTTGCTTTTGTATTCTCAAGGCCTAACACGTCTAATAGAAGATAGCGAAATTAAGAGATGAGGAAGACTACGAACCATTAAGGAGATTCAAAGTGGGAGCCAATACAGAAGCAAAGATAACATCCTCCGATTTGGACAGAATTGTCCTCCTACAGAGAGGCCAGAGAGTATAACATAATACCAAGAGTTACCATTTACTTAAAGCTTACTGGATGTTGGGAACTGTATGTGAATTGTCTCAGTTAATAAGGTCTGAAATAGGTCCTCTTATCTCCATTTTACAGATTGGAAAACAGACCCACAGAATTTAAGCAGTTAATAAATGATTGGGTTCATACTTAAATCCAGGTCTTCCTGAACCCAAAGTCTGTGTGTAATAGAAATCTCTATTTCCTTAAGATAAATTATTCAAAGTGGAATCCTTAGGCGAGCACATTTTAAAGACTTTTGTTACAATTAACAAATTGCCCTCCAAAAAAATTATGTCAATACCAAAGTTAGCCAAAGGTAGTACAAAGAAAAGAAAATTACAGGTTAATATCTCTCATGAACATAGGAAGCAAAAATTGCAACAAATTATTAGCACATCAAATCCTGCAATACATAAAAAAAGAGTAATATGTAATTACAAAGTAAAACATAAACCTGGAATGCAAAGCTGATCAAATACTTAAAAATCAATGTCATGTGCCATACTAACAATCTAAGAAGTAAAACCACATGATCATGTCAATTGATGCAGGAAGAAGCATTTGACAAAATTCGATATTCATGATACAAACTCTCAGAAAACTAGAACAAAAGGGAACTTCCTGAACTTGATAAAAGATATCTACAAAATCCTACACCAAAAATCATACTTCACAGTAAAAGATTGCTTTCTCCCTAAGATCAGGACAAGGCAAGGATGTCTACTTTCACCACTCCCATTTAACATCAATATGTGAAGTCCTAGCCCTCGCAATAAGGCAAGAAAAAGAAAAAGCATACAGAATGGAAAGAAACTGTCCCTGTTCACAGGAGACATGATAGTCTACACAGAAAATCCCAGAGTCAACAGCAACAAAAACAAAACCTCCTAGAACATAAGTTTAGCAAGGATACAAAAACTGTATTTCTATGTACTAGCAATGAATATCAGAAATTGAAGTTGAAAACACAGTCGCTCTAAAAAGCCATAAAATATTTGTCAGTTTTGCTATGTTAGTTTTTATTTATTGACTTGTTTATTTTGAGACAGGGTCTCACGCTGTTGCCCAGGCTGGAGTGCAGTGGCATGCTCACTGCTCACTGCAGCCTCAACCTCCCCCGGCTCAAATAATCCTCCCACCTCAGCCTCTTGAGTAGCTGGGACTACAGGCACACACCACCATGCTGGATAATTGTATGTTAATTTTTAAATGTCTTTAAAATTGTATCAATTTACATGCTGGCTAGCAGTTACCATATTATAGCCAATTTTGGATATTGTCACTATTTTTTCGTATATCAAGTCATTAAAAAATAAGGTATATAGGCCAGGCATAGTGGCTCATGCCTGTAATCCCAGCACTTTGGGAGGCCAAGGTGGGCAGATCACCTGAAGGTCAAGAGTTTGGGACCAGCCTGGCAACATGGCAAAACCCTGTCTCTACCAAAAATACAAAAATTAGCCAGGGGTGGTGGCACATGTTTGTAGTCCCAGCTACTAGGGAAGCTGAGGCAGGAGAATAGCTTGAACCTGGGAGGTGGAGGTTGCAGTGAACTGAGATTGTGCCACTGCACTCCAGCCTGGGTGACAGAGCAAAACTGTGTCTCAAAAACAAACAACAACAACAAAAACCAAGGTGTATAGTATTTTTTATATACTAAAGAATTTTTATGTGTGTGTATGCAAATTATAAAGCATGACGACGAACAGGTTGAGGAATGTGAACCAATTCCTCACTTTGAAACTAAAATATTTGAATTAACAGAGATAGGCCAGGCGCAGTGGCTCAAGCCTGTAATCCCAGCACTTTGGGAGGCCGAGACGGGCAGATCACGAGGTCAGGAGATCGAGACCATCCTGGCTAACACGGTGAAACCCCATCTCTACTAAAAAATACAAAAAACTAGCTGGGCGAGGTGGTGGGCGCCTGTAGTCCCAGCTACTCGGGAGGCTGAGGCAGGAGAATGGCGTGAACCCGGGAGGCGGAGCTTGCAGTGAGCTGAGATCCAGCCACTGCACTCCAGCCTGGGCGACAGAGCAAGACTCCGTCTCAAAAAAAAAAAAAAAAAAGAATTAACAGAGATAGAAAGCAAAGCTGTGTTGGCCAGGCATAGTAGCTCACACCTGAATCCCAGCACTTTGGGAGGACAAGGTGGGAGGATGGCTTGAGCCCAAGAGTTGAAACCAGCACTGACAACAAGACCCCCATCTGTACAAAAAATTTAAAAATTAGCTAGGTGTGGTGATACATGTCTGTAGTCCCAACTACTTGGGAGGCTGATGGGGGAGGATCTCTTGAGCCTGGTAGGTCAAGGCTGCAGTGAGCTATGTATGATCCTGCAGTGAGCTATGATCCTGCCACTGCACTCCAGCTTGGGCAGCAGGGCAAGACCCTGTCTCAAAAAAAGATAATGAAAAGAAAGAAAGTAGAACTGTGGTTGCTAGGGTCTGAGGGGAGGGAGAGAGTTACTGTTTAATGGCTACAGAGTTTTAGTTTTGCAAGTTGAAAAGAGTTCTAGAGATAGATGGTGGATAATGGTTGTACATTTATATTGCACAACAATGTGAATGTACTTCATGCCAGTTTAGTTTCACTAAACTGTACACTTAAAAAGGTTAAGATGGTAAAATTTATGTTCTGCGTTATTTTACAATTTAGGAAATATGTGGTATATTTCACTTTTTTCTGCTCAGTATGACATTCATAAAATTTATCCATGTTACATGTACCTGTAATTCTCTTATTTGCACTGGTGAATTTGTACTGGTGAGAACTTGTAGTTCTCTTATTTGCACTAGTATTTCACGTGACTGTAGCATAATTTATGTATTCATTTTTTTTCAACAGACGTTTGGGTTGTTTCCAGTCTTTTTAGGGAGGTGGGTGAACATAAACTATAAATAGTCCTGTGTATGTCTTGGCACTTATATAAGTGGAACAGCTAGATCAGAGGCTATATGAATGTTCAACTTTACAAATAGATCTAATTGTACAAAGTGGTTCAATTAATGTATGCTCCCTCCAGCAATATTTAAAGAGTTTCAGCTGACCTACATCCTTACTGACATGTGATATTATCAAATATCTTATTATTTGGGAATCAGGTAGGTATAAAAGGATATTTTACTGTGGTCTTAATTTGCATTTTCCTGATTACTGTTCATTATTTTCATGTGTTTGTTGGCCATGAGTTTTTTGTGAATTGTTTGTTTGTGCCTTTTACCTACTGTTTTTGGCTTAAAAATTTTTCCAAGTAGATTTGCAGGAGTTTATATATTCTAGATACTAGTCTTCTTTCAAATATTTATCATATGAATAAATATCTTCTCCAAATTATGGCTTGTATTCTTTACTTTGAGATATCTTTGAGCAGAATTCTTGATTTTAATGTGTTAAAAGGTATCAACCTTGTCTTTTATACGTAATGCCTTTTCTGTCTTATTTCAGAAATTCAGCCAAGCACAGTGGATTTGCCAGGTGTTGGGATTACATACCTATAATCCCAACAATTTGGGAGGCCAAGGTAGGAGGATCACTTGAAGCGAGGAGTTCTAGACCAGTCTGGGAAAAATAGCAAGACACCATCTATACAAGAAATTTTTAAAATTAGTCAAGTGTGGCGGCATGTGCCTGTAGTGCCAGCTACTTGGGAGGCTGAGGTGAGAGGTTTGCTTGAGCCTAGGAGTTTGAAGTTACAGTGAGCTGTGATAGCACCACTGCACTCCAGCCTAAGCAACAGAGTGTGACTTCAACTCAAAAAATTGAAAAGATAAAAAAATCCATCCAGGTGCAGTGGCTCACGCCTGTAATCCCAGTACTTTGGGAAGCCAAGGCAGGAGGATCACTTGACCTCCAAAGCTTGAGACCAGCCTGGGTAACAGAGTAAGACCTTGTCTCTACAAAAAAAAAGATTTTTTTTAATTAGCCGGGAATGGTGACTCACACCTCTGGTCCCAGCTACTTGGGAGGCTGCAGTGGGAGGATCTCTTGAGCCTGGGAAGTCAAGGCTGCAGTGAGCCGTGATCATACTACTGCACTCCAGCCTGAGTGGCAGAGTGAGTCCCTGTCTGGAAAAAAAAAAAGAAAAAAAAAAAGAAAACAGAAGAAATTCTTCCCTAATCCACAATTACAAATATAATCTCCTATATTTTCTTCTGGTTATTAAAAAAGTTATCTTTACATATAATTTGGAATTGCTTTTTATGTAAGGTGAGAGGTGTGAATCCAATTTTGTTTTTCGATTCTTCAGTGATTTTTAATGTCACCACTGTCATATGTCAAGTTTCTATAATGTGTGAG